TCAAGATCTTCACCCAAAACACCACCGAACATCAGCTGCGACTGCTCCTGGGGGCAGGGGGTGCTGCTCGAAGGGCGATGCAGAAACCCCAGCCACGACCCCTCCAAATACGACTGCCCCACAACAGAGCACAGCTCACTCATGTCCAAGATGGCAAAATATTTACATAAGAGGGATGTGTAACCCCACTTATTTTTCATAATGTTGCCCCCCTGGTATGAGGTGCTCAAAGGGACCCTCACCAGCACAGGACTGCACCGCGCAAGGCACCGAGCGCCCAAACCTCCATCCAGCACGCCTCAAGGTGCTGAGTATTTTGGTGAATTTTGACATTTTGAAGGAAAGCCAAACAGTAAGAAAACAGAAATAATGTAAGGCTCCAAAATCTGGCGTTTAGCAGCAGAAAATGTAAATGTGGCATTGTACTGTTTTTAAGTAACAATGTATTTTCCAGTGATAGAAATGAAAATATGATCACCAAAAAATAAAAAAAAAAAAGAAAAAAGGAGAAATTGTTGGAGACAATTTATTTTCATGCCATTAGTGTAGAACATTGAGTGTAATCTAAAAATATTAAAAATATGACTGACTTTGGTGGTCATCTCCTGTACAAACATATGAAACACAAAAATTTGGAAAAGCTCACTGAGTGCTTCTCTTTATTTCAGTATCTTATTTCCAGTTTATCATTGTCACACAACAGGCATGAGACAGAACTTTTATAAATAACTTTTAATTATGGGGATAAATAGTTATATCTGGATTGGATGACTTTTTTTATTATTATTATTATTTTAAAACCTCACATAAAGACTATGACAATATTCCAGATATTGGTGTGTATAGATATAAGGAATTCCTTTATAGCTCTTAAAAGCCTGGTCTAGAAATCAGTATCTTCTTAAGATTTTCTTTTCTTGTAGTGCTCTGGCTTCCACTGAAACACTTTTTAGAGCCTTAGCCAATGGAGCAACTTTTTCAGCAATGTCCTCCAGGATATTTTTCTCATTATAATTATCAATATTTTTTTATTATTGAATTTATTACTGTATGAATTTAACTGAGGGCTAAAACCTTAAAGCAGGTTAATCAAAGATCTTACTTTCCTGGTTTCTGCTGAGCTCTCCCCCAGACCTAGTGGACAGAGAGACTGGAGAGGGAGGAGCTGAGGAAGTTTTATAAAATTATGTGGTTGCTTTTGCAAATTCTCCGCTTCTAGCTCCTGAGCTTTTGCTCTCTGGATCCCATCCAATTCAACGTGCCCATTGAGGTGTGGGGTTTTAATGCTGTCACATGCATTCCCTACCGCTATCTATAACGTTTTAATCATTCCCAAGATGACTTTGGCTAGAACTCGATGTTCCATCTTTTTACAGCAATGCAACTTTTTTTTTCAACATTTTGCTAGTAGGTTTTGGGTTTTCAAACTTACTTGCGATTTTTGGCATCACTTTTTTTAAAACATTCCTTGAAGACTTCACTAAATCCATTTATTAGCTGATCAAGAATCTTATCTTTCCCCTTTGGAACAGGGCTTTGCAGTATGAAGGCCAGCTCTTGCAGTGCTGCTGTCAGCTGAGCAGACCCAAAAACACACGAAGCAGCAGAAAAATCTGGGTCAGCTTGGAGAGTCAAAAGCGATGGCATAGTTGGAGTAGGTTTTCTCGTCATTGCAACCTTTCCCGTTTTTTTTGGCTTCTCAGCATACTTCTTGTGTACTTTTAACCAAAGAGCATCGAGGGTATCATTACGAGGGGGTGTCGCTGCTGAAGGCGCAGCCAGCGCGCCCTGCGAGGGGTCGTTGCGCATGACGTGGTGCAGAACGTCCACGAGGTTCTTCAGGGTTTCCTCTTCTTCATCTGCCTCTGTCCTGGAGAGGGTTGCTTGAGGTGCTGCAAAAGATAATTAAACAGCTTTTACCTTCTGCATTCGTGCGGATGTCAGATGTACATTGGCTTTGCTCACCCTTCAGTCAATATCACGGATAAACTTTAGTACAAATGCACTTTTGCTAGAATAATTATCATCTTTTTATTTAAAGAAAATCCATTAGTGCTGCCATGCTAGATGGTAACCCTACTTTCTGCAAGGATGAATAATGCAGTGAATTCTCCAGTTCACACCGTCTCTGCACTGAAATGGAGTTTTTTCCATGCTGCTCCCGAAAGCTGCAGCTTTTTATGTCCCAATGAGCACAGGAAGCCCTCATCAAGAACTTTGGGGTTGAAGTCAGTCCTGCTGCTCAGCATGCAGCTGAACTGCAGGGTTTTCTAGGGGATCATTGCTGTGAAAGGGAAAAAGTTCTTACCAGGGGCTGTAGCACCGACTGTGTCCTCAGCTGAAATCTCAGCAGGGGAGTACGGATGCAACATCTTCTGTCAAATATAAAAACTTTAATCATATCAGAATTTCCAGCTCATTGAAGTGATAATATTATAATTGCCGTATTATCCCACTGAATTTTTAAGCTCAAATTAAGACAAACTACTGTTAAAAAGTTGGATGGAGGGAGATGTCTTTAATTATCATGCTATGCCTAGAAAGGCCTGGAAACTCAAAGTTAAGGTTACCATTTTTAGTAACGAAGTAATCAAACCAGGACAAGGGGGGAAAAAAATCAGTATATTCGTGAATTCATTCTTTACCATGATCACAACTCATAAATTTGCTTCTCCTCTACATGCACTACGTGGGGGATAATACAGGCTTTTTTCAAGTTTAAGAATGTCTACATCCAACTTGAAAATGAGCACTTTTAACTGAACATTTTAATTTGCACTTTGCTTTCCTACTTTTTTTTTTTTGGACAAAATTACAGCAGGCAGATTCTAAATGGCTATCTGATCTGCACACCGAGATGCAAGACATGTAGTTTTCTACACATGCCAAACTTTGAACATGAATTAAGGTATAGTCCAGCCTTAAAAGCCCCTTATGAAGCTAGTTGACCCTACTGGTACACAGTATATTCTTTTATCATTAGACTAGAATTTTTGAAGAGCACAGTATAACTAAGGAAATACAACTTTGGAAGCGTACCTCCAACTGCAAGAACACACACTGCACTATGTAAAATTACTTGCATCTCAGAAGCAGCAAAGTTCCTCTCCCCAGAGCTATTCTAGAACACTGGACAAAGCTGATCATCACTAACAACTACATTAAAACATCACAAAATTCACAGCATATCACTAAATTTTGAAAACCATGGAAATCCCATTATTAAGTTTGAAAACTCATGAAATCAGAAATCAATGGATGACTATTGTTCATCATCACTAAAATCCTGGCACCGGAATAGTGTGGCATATAGAAACTGGGTGACAAGTTATGAAAAACGTCATTTGGTGAAAAAAAAAATGCTCTTCACTGATAATAAATAAGCATCTTTAGGAAAGGTCCCACCTTGCTAATTTTCAAATTAAATTCATCCAAGCCTTTCCATACTGAGAACCTATTAGGATTTCCCTTTGCCTCCCTTGACATTGCTCCCATAAAAATCATCAGGAAAGCTCCCCGATAGTTTTGAGAGCAGAAGAATTTGGCACATACACTCAGCAGCATCAGAGCAGTCAGTAACTAACGAGAAAAGTCTTTGGCTTTAAGACAAGGGAAAAAGAAATGAGACATATTACATTGATGAAAAGTGCCCCAAAATGTCACTAATTGTGTCTATCCAGGTGGGATGAGAAAGATTCTTCTCTTCAAAGAACCTCTGCGAGCACAAATACACATAAATACATTCACGTCTCAAATCCCCCTCATTAAAATTACCTTCACGTGTTTCACATTCCTCAAATTATGCTGCAATGCTAAAAGAAAGAAGAAAAAAAATTAGAGACATAATCAGTCACTCAACACAAACACAAGCAACGTGATCTCGGTTTGGTACACGGGCCTGAATCTGCTGGTCTCTGTGGTTCGTAATCTTCTGCTTTGAATGGAAGTTGCCGTGTCACAAGCAGCCCTGGTAAAGGAAAGCTGCACAGCTCTCCGGTGAAAGCACAAAAGAAGCTGGGCTCTTTTTTACAAATAATTTTTTTGTTTGTTTTTTGCGCAATGAACCCTCTGGAAATCATACAGATTTTTTCCAAAATATGCATTCTCCCATGAAACTGGAATTTGCTTCAGAGCATCAGGGCCTCTAAAAACAGAGAGAGGATGAAATGATTTCCCCACACAGCCTCTTACCAAAAACACCACACCAAAGTTCCCTGTCTACAACGAAACCCTACAGAGCCTCGTTATTGACCCTCTAGGTAACGCGATGAATTTCCTCTCCCAGCACCACGCTGCCCTCATAATTCCCCAGGTACATATTTGAAAGTGTTCAAACACTCACAGAAACTCGGAGCTTTATTTGGGGGGACTGCCTTCAGCCTTGCATAATCCACTCACCCTACGACTTCAGAGCGAGCGGGAATAAAGCCGGCAGCAACGCGCCCACACGAGGCTACGTGAGCACAGAACATCCTGCTGGTCCCTCCTGAGCCACACAAAGGAGCAGCTTTGGAAAAAGACATGAAAGCTAATGTAAAAATGAGATCTGATCGGTGACTGCCGGATAAAGGAGCTGTGCGAGTTGCCACCTGGGCTACTGGATGCGCGGCAGAGCCAGCCTAGTGGCCAGCCGGGGCTGTGATGGGATCATCACAACGGCTGTGGTGCTGCCAAGAACTTTTATTTTATTATATTCATTTAAGAACTGCCCTTCCGTAAGGCTCCAGAATTCAAGACACACAAAGGAAAAATGACAAAGACAATAATGAACCTTAACAGTAAGGTTGTGTTACAGAAACCGCTCAGCCTGAAATACTTCACGTTATTTCCTAAATCTGCGTTTTCCTGAGATGCCAACAGTGTAAAATACCAACAGTTTCAGTTACATCAGGAACCAAAAGCTTGTAAACAGAGCTAAAAAAAAAAAAAAAAAAAAAAAAAAAACTATGTTATAAAATCAAATTTGTGTTATACTTTTTTTTTTTTTTTTTTTTTTTTTGGCTAAAAAACGTTGTGCAATTTTGGCTGAAAGACTGCAAATAAACTTCTGTCTTTCACGAGGCTTCATCAAAACCTTACCGTGTACATAACAACTCAGAGTCTGTAACTCTTTCAGCCAGAAGTTGTTTTCAGAACAGCATCCACACAAGAAACCACGTTTGGAGCAAACGAGTTTGACCTCTGATGTCAAAGAGCTTTCCTCACACGATCGGTTCTCTAACAAGTCAGGTTTTACAGAGACTTTCACAGTGCCTTCAGCCGTGTGAAGACTTCTACCTAATTTCATAACTGAGATAAAAACCTTAAAGACCAACAATTAACCTGAGAATAGGGAAATTACTGCTAAATCCCTACTCAAGCAATGGAAAAATTTGGAACTATGGGATCTCAACAGGTTTACAGTGGAGAAAGTACACCAATTAACCCATTTTGTCTGTAAATTAAATAAATAATTAAAAATCCCCCAAACCCCTGCAGTCCAGAAGGTGGCAGCCTCTTTGGTGACTACCAGAGATTTGCCGTTTCTGGAGGACAGATGTAAATTGGAAAGAGAGGAAGAGGACCAGGGCTGTCAAGAAAAATATTGATTTGCACTCAGCTGTCTTCTTTAAAGTTTCCTCCAGGCCTCCCCACAACAGCAAACGGGGACTTGGTGCTGGATCCTGCTGCGGATGATGTTTTAACAGTTCATTCAGGCAGAAATTTGCAGAGACTTCAAGATGTTATTACTACAGAGGAGGCAAAGCCCAGTATTATTTTTATTTCTGTAAAATTTTCTCTACTTAAAAACATGCATTCTGCAGAAAGGTACAGAGAAGACTCTGTGCACGTGCCAGAGATTTACTCTAGCTCATTCATAGCAAGGACATAAATTTTTGGGGCTTCTCTAACAAGTCGCTGCTGAGGGAACTCTCCAAGGGACAAAGGTGGGTTATGCAGCATGAATAAAATGAGCAACAGCTTCACGCAGGTCCAGCCAGAGCCCTGGGTACAGGCAGGAAGATCTCATCTCCTCCTTTCAAAGGTTACACAGCGATGCGCCGTGGGAGAGCTCACACTCAGCATAAATTCCTGGGTGTCCTGAGGCACACTCCTGTCCCTGTGCTGTCCCAGCACCGTCTCATCCTCCTGCTCCTGTCCTGCCCTTGACTTCCAGCCCTGGGGCTGTGCACCCACTTTTCACCTGACCACAGCACTCTGGGCAAAGGCTGGATGTGGGATCATCACAACGGCTGTGGTACTGCCAAGAACTTTTATTTTATTATATTCATTTAAGAACTGCCCTTCTTAAATGAAAGGCACAGCACTCTGGTCAAAGGCTGGATGGAAGCTGGCATCACAAGCAGCAGCAGCACGCTGTTATAGAGTGTGCCTGGGGTCTGGGACCTAACCAAACCCACCGAAACAGAGGGTACACTTCAAAATGAGAGTAACACAAAGAAATATGTAGAAAGGGAGAAGAAGAAAATGAAATTTACAGACATGAGTAGCAGGAGAAGCAGGGCCAGGCTCTCAGCACCTCGCGCTCTGCCTCCCCAGCAGGATGCCACCACCCCGCGCTGCACCAGAGCTGTTCCAGCTTGCCACTTCCCTAAATTCATGCACGTTGTGTTCCTCGTGATGTAACGGGGTGACAACCCTCACCCTGCAACAGGCAGGACACGCATATATGCGAGCACACAGCAGCTCCGTGGCATCCAGGCACTTCTCCACCCAACACCTTCAGCAGGGGAAGGACCGCTCTGCTCAAACCCGTCCTGCCTTTAACCACGGGCACTCCGGGGCTGGGTGTGCAGCTTAGGAAGGCTCCCCCCGGTCCCGGCCCCACTCACCGCGGGGAGGCAGCACCGACAGCAGCGGCAGCAGCCCCAGCACCGGCAGCAGCCCGGCCATGGCGCCGGTAACGGCCGGGGCGCGCCCGGCTTTGCGCACAGCCGGGGGGGGCGCACGGTCCCACCTCGGCCGCGGATAAACCCTCCCCCCTAAAAGCAGGATAGCCCCAAATCTGCACCTGGCTGAGGATGGATGGATGGCACCGGTAGGTGGGCAGGCGGGGAGTTGATTCTCCGGGACTGTGCGCAGGGGAAATGGAGTAGATGGTGTTGGGTATCATCAGCTGCTGATTTTGGGGTGATGGGTCTGGTTAATGCTTCCTTTAGGGAATGAGGAGGTGGACAAGAGGTGGCTGCAGCCTGTGTCTGACTGAGAAGGATTTAGTGCCCTTAGCCCTTACCTACAACCACTTGCTAAGAAGAGGCTGAGGGAATCTGGAACCAAGAGAGCCTGGGATGGCTTCTTCCTACCCCAATACTCCCCTAAGAGATTTCCCTGATGCCAGGGGAAAGATATTGAATGGCTAAATAAGATACTGCACCTGGAACAGGAGGAATGAGCCCCGCATCATTTAAACACCCATCAGAAACACTCAGAGTACACTGGAGCATTTTTCTGTACAGACCAGACCCGACATGAGCACCTTTCTGAGAGGGACCACATCAGTACGCCCTAATAAAAAGGTCTCCCCTCTTCCTGTGACCTTTATAAAGCAGCCCCATCGGTCCATACAACTTGAACTGCTTTTCAGCAGCTGTGGCACAACACAACGGGCAGCAAAGGACTGCTACGGAGATGCAAGCAACTTAGGGGCACAAAAGGGTAAAAGACACCACCATGAAAACAAGTTGCTATGCGCAACAGACATTAAAATGTCAATATCGTGATGGGAAAGAAGGCAGCTAAGAGGTGCTAAAATTCAGCTTTCTACTTGGACAGTCTCAGAAGGTTTGGTCCGGGGGAATCAGCACACCACGAGAACAGCCATCCTCCAGGTAGGATGACTGCAGCGGGATCCCATGGCAGAGAACGCCAGGCTTGCATTGCCTAAGGAAAAATGGACCATGAGCATTCATATTTAAAGAACAGCAGGAATAAAATCAGGGAGACATTAGCAGGAACTGACAGGGAAAAAAAAAAAGCAGTCTGTGGATACTGGAAAAAGATATAATCTGGACTGAAACCTGGCTGTGCAGGCGCAGCGACTGAGCGCTCCGCTTCTCCCGCTGCGCAGCTATTTCTGGGCTTGGAAAGAAATCCTCTAGAGGGAGTTGGAAAATTGTTTAAAGGATTTTCCTCTCCCTTCCAGTCTGATAGTATCAAAAGACCAAGGGACCACGAGCCGTTCCACAAAGAAAAATAGTAATTAAAGAGCTTCACTTCATTAAACGAGGAATATTTAGAGCACAGGAGAAGCAAGAGGCACAGCACCAAACACACAAAGGCGGGTGCTGTTGCAGCACACTGCGGGCCAACGGGGAACCTGCCTCTGCGAGGAACTTCAAAGACAGACATCTTCACCTGTCAAGAGATTCTTGGAAATAAAACCCAGGCGAGCCAGAAGAGTGTTGGGGATGAAAGACGGGCAGCGTGGGGTCGGGTCGCCAGCTCAGGACCGTCAGCTGCAGGGCTGCGTGCATCAGCACTTCCACGGGCCCGGCTCAGCCACCAGATAGACGAGTACAGTAAATATTTAATTAGATCGCAGTATGGCCAACATAACACCACGGCTTCTTTATGGAAGTGTTCTAAATGATTAGAAACTGGAAAGGGAATTTAGGCCTCTTAAAAATTGTGGCCATTGTAAATCACCAGGGAAACGTAGCCATACTCATTCCCCAAAAGAAGTTATGAACAACTTCATTATATCCAAAATTTACTATCCAGAATTTGACTGGATATTTTTTTAACTTATTATGAAATGTATAGCTCTGATTTCAATATCACTCCGGAGCTATTTAACTTTATGTTAAAATCAATGGAAGGGCACATACATTAAAACAGGACTTCTGTTGCGAGCAAGTGCCAGATATTTGGATTTAAAGAAAAAAGGGATCAGGATGAAAAGTTGATGTTGTAGAATTAACTACATGAAAACACTCACTCTGCACGTTGCTTTGACTTTGTTTTTGGATTACAGTACACTTGAAACTTTTTGAATGGCCTGTCAAACATGCTTCTTCCTTGAAATCTATAGCCCCCTACTCCCCCAACCAAAAAAGTAAATAAATCTCTTTACAAAAAGAGAATTTATCTTACATCTTTATTTTTACAAAAAGTAATACTTTTTTTTTAATAACCAATTTATTCCCTAAAGCATCTCACACCGACTCCTCAGTTTTAACTCTTGAGGAAGGCAAGTAATATAATGATGCACCTTACCAAACACACCCCACCTTCCCAATATAATCAGCAAAAATAAAGGTACGGCTACGCACAGATTTTATACATTCGCATTTGTATACACATTGACAATTCATAAAGACAGTTAACTACTGAGGTACAAAAACACGCTCTTGGGTGGCCTGTTTTGACCAAACCAGAGTTAAAAGTGGAGAGTTGAGTAAAGGTCCATCCAGTGACAAAAAAAAAGAGGGACAATGGCCAGTACCTGGCAGACACAGCTGGCATGGCCTACAGGAAAACACAAGCACAATAATTGCCTGAAAACACGGCACTCACAGAGCCACAAGCAGCTTACCAGGATGACAACTCCCTGTTTCGAGGCATCACCGGGCTGTTTGGCTGCAGCATGACCCAAAACAGCTTGAGCAGAAGGTGCCTGCACACTGCGGGCACTCTGCTCTCAACAGCTGCTGAAGGTTTCTTAATGCAAATGCCGAGACCTGCATCGAGTTTCAGCTTCAGATGTACCCTCACAACCACTGGGTGAAGCGTCTTACGCGTGGTACCTTCCAAAATGAGGCCTTAAATATCCAGGTTTTGGACAAAAACAGCCTACAGAACAGGTATCAGACATGGACAGCTAAAGGAAGAGTCAGGCTGCTCAAAGAAAACATTCCAAATTCATTTATTTCAGGAAAGATTTTATTTTTTTTTTTTTAAGTTAAGGTTGTGAATGTTCCCCATATACTTTTTCTTTTGTTTTCAGGGCATAACCAGGTACAGTTTGTTAAAAGGAGCAGTATTCTCCTGCCTGCTGAGATCTCGCATTGGACACTGAGGTTTACTTTCCCCTGGGGTACATGTAGGGGAAAATCAGAGAGATGGTAGCAAAATTTGATCTGCAAAAGGAAATTGCTTTACCACAGGTGTCTTAAAATTATCTGGTTTCTATTTATGTTCATTAACTCAAATACCTAGGGAGAAGTAACATTGGCTGAGACTTAAATCCCTGCCCTTTCAAGCAAGAATTTCCAGAGCTCACAGCCCCCCCGCCCATAGTCTCCCAACAGAATAAATGAACAAATAAATAAAAGTCATTTTTCTGTAAACCTGGGCGATTTTCATCTTGTTTTTAAGGCATGGGGGAAAGGATTTGTAAGAGGTGATGTCACGAAGCACTTCTCCCCATTCTGTTTTATGCCACAAGCACAACAGCTGCTTTCTGAGAAATACCCATACAAATAAAATAGATCACAAAGGAACGAGAGAACTGGCAGAAAATAAACACAGACCAAAGACAACAGAAAAAAAAAAAAAGATTTTTTTTTTTTTTAAATATAAAGTTTATTCCTTACCTGGTTTCCCACCCACAGGTTGCTGTTTGCTCCCTCCCTCCTATCCCCCCCCCATCTCTGAGGTCTGAGTCTTAGCCAACTAAAAGCAATTAAATAGAGAATTAGCTTTGGACCCCTGTGTATATTAGAACATCTGAAGGGAAATTAGGCAAATAACTCCTTTTTATTCAGAAGCCTAGCTCCATTTTCCTATTAGGAGAGTACAGCTTCCAGTCCCACCAGTTTTCCCAGAACCTCCACCCCATTAAACCTGCCTGGCAGGATGCTGACTGACACCACCTTTCCCCAATGAAACCCGAGTTAAAAATCACTTGATCAGCAGCACAGACACCGGCAGAAGGTTCCCGAGAGCATTGCAGGGCCTACTGAGGACTGGTTGGGTGCTTCCTCGGGTACTAGATCCACCTGAGCTAGACCTGTCCCCCCTTCTGGGACCAGAGGCCACCAGGCACACCCGCAGGGCTCTCGATGCTCTCAGGTTGCTCCATCGCTCTGTTCCTTCTTCCTGCTCATACATGAGGGCTACGGCAAGTGCTGCTGTCACTCTCAGGTCTTTTGCATCTAATATGTGCCAGAGATCACTATCAGAGGAAGGGTAAACTTTGTACAAGGTGATACTGCTGCTGAATAACACTACCTCTGCATTTTCCAGCAGTAGCATTACAAAACAGGCAAGCTCGTTATTTCTGCTGAAGAACACATTTGCAAATTGTGGAGCGCTGGGGTAAAGAGAAACTGCAGTGTGAAAGTCCTAGGAACATAACTCCATAAAGTTGTAATTTAAGGAGTCAAAAACACCTTTCTTTCACCCAAATTTCACGGTATATGAATTCTTCCTGGGCTGAGCTGGTGTACACTGAGAGTTTTACCCTACTTAACTCCTTCAGCTTCTTAAAATCACATACAGCTAGCCAAACTTGTGCAGTGCTCTGCGCACACAGTCCCCAGGCAAAATACAAAGTAAAGTCTGTTTTGGGGTGTGTATTTACTAAATTCTCGGAAGATCAACAAAACTGGTTTCTAGAAATCCAGAGCAGTCCTTTGTTGCTGTCTGAGGTTTGGAATGGGACAGCCTGGTTAATTCAAACCCTTCTGTGCCTCCTTTCTTTATTGCCTCCCCCCTCTTTGGTGGGGTTCGTGTATTCCTGGAGAATACAACATGATAATAAGGTGGATTTGTGATAGAAGCAGCCCTTCACGGAAATACACGTGTATCTGTATGTATTTTAACATAATACCTCCCTTGGCTTAAGTTTTATTTCCTACTTCCAGCTTGAAGTCCCACCCATGTCACCTTTGCATTCAGAGATTTTGAGAAAAACATTGAAAGAGACGTGGCTCTTTACAGAAGGAAGGTAGAAAGATGGAACAAGCTGCAGATTAAATCAAGGGGGAGATATTTCACTGGTGTTTCTGAAAAACAGAAGTTGGTGAGTCACTGTCTTCATTTTAGAGAACAAAAAGCCACCCCTAACACTTACCCTACGTAGTAAATCATATACCAGAATCCCTCTTTGCCACCTCACAGAATAAAGTTGATTAACTTAGATCACAAAAACCAGGACTTCCCTTGCACTCACTTCTGATACTACACCGCACATTCGGTAACCTGTATGCAGAAATGTCTCTTTTGAAATATAACCACGTTATATGAGTGGTTTTTTGTTTGTTTTTGTATTAAAGTTCAGAAATATTCTACCGAATACAAACCACTGGGGCCATTTGGCTTCTCCTTTGGATAATCATTTATCTGGAGCTAGGTGCAGGCACAGTGGAACAAGCAGAGCTCATCTGCATGCACAACAGCTCGATTTGCATGGTCACTGCCAATGAGGACACGCACTTGGAATGCAGCTCCACATACCTGCACATGCTAATTCAGGCTTTTTGTGTTTTTGGAACAGCTCCTGTCCGGGTAACACCCACCCTTCTTCAGGAACGCGCACGCACTCACCCTGGCTTTCTGATGCCTGTGTTAAGATGATGCCAACTACCAACACAATTATTTTTTTTTGTATCAGTTTTCACACAAATTAATCGCAAGTTTTGGTCGCCTGATTGACCTTAGAGAAAATAGATGGTGGCCACAGCATTTGCATGCACAGTTACAGTGTTTGAAAACACAGCTCTACTCCTTTTGACCATACTGCTGTAATTTCTACATCTTCCAACTACTAGAACTTATAACACGAATAAACCACAAACATCCCTTTCCCATGGACTTCCACTCAGAAGGCTGTCTGAGATAGAAAAGCAAATATTTAAAGAACAACGACAGAAGCAGAACGTTTTTAAGATGACTGTAAAAACAGCACAAGTGGAAGTAAGAAAATAAACAAGGTTACATCACTTTCGGTTTTCAGGAACGAAGCTATTCATGAGGAACGGAGGAGAGAAAGAAAAATGTATTTTATTCCTCCCCTCACGGGGCTTTTATGTATATACACACAACATATTGCAAGCTCTGGGAATTTTCAGGAAGAATAACGCAGCACATAAGCAGTAATAACATCCAAAGCCGCTGAATATTTCCCTAGCTCATCTCCAACCGCACATTCCAGCGCAGAGATCCGTATTCGGAGCCTCATTCAGAAGACACCCAGCATGCTGAGGCACTTTGTACAGCTATTATCTGAAAGTCTGACCCCGCAACAAACGGCGCTATAAAAGAAAGCGAAATTATCAAAACTTTCTTTCAGCATTGGACGCTCACCGCTGCGCTCTGCGTATCTGACTAAGCAGCCAATTTGCTGCTAGGTAAGCAAAGAATTTCTGATCCTGTTTGTACAAGCGCTGAACTCTAGCACACAAGGGGGTGAACTGTGAATACTCAGTGAAACTCACTCGATTAAATCACTTACTGGTTTTTGTAAGGGCATTTCTGTTAAGGGGAACTGCTTCCATTTACCCACCTGTTAATTTAGCTTAAGCAGGAATGGGAATACATGACCTCTGTGAAAAAAAAAAAGAAAACAAACATATAGTGTCTAGCCAGCTTGCTTCTTTTTGGAAGAAAGTCATCTTATGCTTAGCAGATGACAGATCTTTTTGGAATATTCAATATTTAATATCCACCACTTAGTCCTAGCCTTTGCTTTTGTCATATTTAAAAGGAAAGGAAAATAGCATGTCACTTTCCAAGGCCCAGAATAGCAGTATTGCACTCGGTGTGGAGACTGATTGATAATCAGAAACCCTCTTTCTCTACCCAGAACTTTTTCTATCCCCTCTGGCACTGTTTTCAGTCTGAGAATCCTTGGGAGACTTTGGTCCAGCGTTGGCATAGGCAGCTCCTCACCCATCACAGCACGCTGGGATCCTGCGGACAGATTTCAGCCACTTGGCCTGAAGAGTCACTCTTCAAAGCATCACCTGTAATACTTACACTTCTTTAAGTTGTCTCTAAAGTTCAAGAGTCAGCGATGAAATTGGATATCTCACATTGTAAGCGACACCCAGGATGAAACAGGTAAGAAAAGCGAGTAAAAAAATCTGATTATTCTTGTTAGAAAGGAACAGGTTGAGAGAACAACAACTAAGATTATCTTGGTAATGGATCTCATCGAGTACACAGGTGCTCCACTTGTTCAGGTTGACAAAAGTGAAGGTTGAAAGAGGATAAAATTCCTCCCTTTACATACTGAGGGGATGAACGTCAGGCGTAATGCTATTTGATGTAACAGATATTGCTACTGCTAGGGTAAATCCTAAGCACCATGAAAAAAAATGAGATGCCCGATACCCACCAGGGACTTCCGAACAGCCTCAGCATCTTTTCCAGTTGCGTTTCCAGTTCAGAGTCATACATCTTCCTCATGCTGATCACACGTCCCTCTAGTAACAGATTTGCATTAACACGTTGACCATCCAGACCTGGAGCCTTGTTGAGGAAAAACCTGCAGCTACTGCCCATTACTGCCACTTCAACCACAAACCTTGTGCAGAAACTCCACGGGAAAAAAAAATTAAAAATCTAATGGTTAGAGTGAAATTACAAGGTGAGCGTGAGTCAACAGGGGTTATTTATTGAGTTTGACAGCAGTGCTGCACTTTATGGTGATCAAAGACAAATATAAGCCAGGAGAACAGCACCCAGCTTTGGAATGCTGTGCCCTATGAAATCTGCCTAACAGAGGCTACAGAAAACTGGAAACAAGCACGAGGGAGACTGGAGAAACGGAGGTAGCTGCCCTGACAACAAGACCACAAAGTCTGTGAGTACTTTCAACAAAATGCCAACAACAACAAATGAAAATACCTTTTTTTCCTTTCACGGCCCGTATGAAAAACGATGGGGTTACGCTGCAGCAAGGAAGATTCAGGTCAGACATCATGACTAGCAAGGATGGCGAGGTAATGGAGCAAATTATTGGGGAGCAGCCATTTCAATACCACGTACCTCCAAAGCAGCCCACATAAACATCTGTTAGGGAGAACATTAAGTGTGGCTGTCCCTGCCCCGAGTGGAATTACGAACTAGATCACCTTCCATACTTGTGAGTCAATTATTATGTCTGATTATTCCATATTCCATCATTATTTGTTTGTTTTACTATTGTGTCTGTGAAGTCTAGCCACTGACTCACGCCAAGTCCTGGGACAAAATAAACATGCAAGAGAAATTCCATAACTGGCACAAAAATGTGATGTGAGAGTCAACGGCAGAACAGGCAGGTAGGGAGACCCAAAAATACATCCAGGCAGCACTGATGGTCCCAATCTAAAAGCAACAGGCAGACAAGGGAGGCTGGCACACGCTGTGCCAAGCAGGCTGGGATCTGATGCAAGGAGAAATACTTCCTATTTGAAGCAACAGAGCAGAGCACAAGAACGGGATGCAACAGCAAACCACCACCCTGTGCAACACCCTCCGCAATGCCACTCGGTAAGGATGCAACACACGAAATCTGTCAAGGTAGAGAAAACAATATTGGAAGGAGTGATTAAATAGCTGGTGAAATATTGGAGGTGTTTTACATGTGCAGATGGCCAAGGACCTCATCTCTAAAATCTCACATAGGAAGAAATATGGAGGTTTAGACAACGCTATTGAGGATTAGAGAGAATCTTATTTCAAAGACGATGCCTGATTTGAATTTGCATGATAAGCAAATAAGGCTGTTTCATCTGCTGTGCCGGAGACAGTGATGAAGGAGGGCTGGCAGAGGAAGATGAGAATCTCCACTTTAATTACGCGATGCATAAGCTGATGCTTCATTTACACAGACAATTTCAGAAAGCCAACATGAGATTTTAACTTCTGACAGAAAACAGAACTAGGTAACACCAGACCTGCTGGTGCGACCACTAGTTTCATGCTCCTGCAAAGAAACAGGAATCAAGATGACTCCTCTGGTCTTTAATCGCCTACAGAAACCCAAAGAGGGACAAATATGACAAGGTAAAGAAACATCTAGGAAGGCGAGGAAAAAAAAAACAACACAGCACTGGTGGCCACCAGTCCCAAATACCACAGGAAAACAGAGGTCTAAGAATGAGAGTCGCTTGTGGCAGAAGCAAGATGAGTAAGGAAACCTCTGCTTCGAGGTAGTGGAGGACCTTGGTCAGGGAAGAAACGTGTTGTGTTGGCTTCGCATCCCACCGTATGTTGGAGACGGACAAGTGTAGATGCAGGAAAGCAGCTATCATAACCTTTCGTGCTCTAAGATGAAGTTAAATTTTAACTTGTAACATCATCTCAGTTGAGCTGTGAATCACAACCTCAAATGATTCATCAGAAATATCATCTGCAAGTGGCTATTACAAGATCGTCTGTCTCCAGACAGAACGGATGACCGAGCCGCTTCCCAAATTTAGCAGTGTTACGTGTTAAACCCCAGCATCCAGCGGGTTTGCCCGCACGAAACACAAACATTTCTTTTGTTTTCCAGTGGACCTCCAATTTCACGAAAGGCTAAGGCACCACGTAAACCTCAAGCAGCAAATTGCGGCGTGTGCCAGTAAACTTCAAGATGCATTAGTCCTTCTGGAGGGCTGGGGACAAGACAATCATATCAGCATCAGGCTATTCCGACACAATTAAAGCAAAATCTTTTGTTCGGATCACAGAACTCAGCTGTGTCAATTGAATTGCTCTGATTGAACTAATTGAATTTCAATTGCTCAAGTCTGGTTTTGAACGGTTTCGTGTGACATTCAAAAAGACTGAAGACTTCATTTATAAATGGAAGTGTGTGTGGGGAGGGACAACAAACGCTTTGGCTGTTACCCAGAAAGTAGCAAATGTGTAATATATTTCACTGGAAAAGCACACGAAGCCTTATCTTCCTGTGGAGGCCTCCACTTACCACATCAGCTCCCCATTAGCATCCTCTTCCCACAAGGATGTGGGGACCCTCACCCCATCCTCTCCTGAAGTAAAACTGAGCATCACTTATCCAAGTCCTATTTCACCCCCGTAGCTCCTATTGTTTCAGCAGACGTGAAACACGGCTGAATTACAGCCTTGGAGGGCACAAAGTACACAGAACACTTGTAAAACTCCTGCTTTTGCTGCCCAAAAGCTTCGTGCCCACCTAGGAGGGAAAGCACCACGATGTGACCACCAGAGGATTAGGATTCTCAAATATTTCCAGAAAAAAAGACATCTATTTAAATTTAATTAAATGCTAGGCTAGATCTCATTGCTGATGCCTACCAGCAGCTTCTGTACGAACTTGCTGATTGTTCTTTATCCTCACTGCAGAAGTGGAACTGGAAGTGGCTTAGGAGCCAAAACCAAAGTGCTCGTGAAGTCAATGGCAGCAATTCCATCAAAATATGAGCCAGGTCACCACATCCCTGCTGTATTCAGCCTCCTCTTCTGCACCAATTCATTCCTCTTACTCCAGTAGATCACCTCCACCTTAAGGGCATTAATGGTGCAGATGCACAAGAATCTCGCTTTATAGGTTTCTAAAGGGGCCCTTCTACTTCATCTTTAAAATTAACTTGGTTTTGATAACTTCCAGGCTACAGAATTTGCTTCCTCCCCTTTTACTCTGTCTCCGAACAAAGGAAACACCCACATATCCTAGCACAAGTCTTCAATTTGTTAAATTAACTTTTCATTTGCTTCATGCAAGTCTTACAAAAATAGATGCAGCTCCTTGTAACTGGGCATGGAACTGGCAGGAGGCACAGCATGCACGAAGACCAGCCTGCGTGGCCAAGCAGCACCAAGTGCTTCTGGCTGTACAGGAGCTTTGCAGTCAGTTCGGATCTGGAAGTTCTGATTTATCTACGTTTAACCACATGATGAGCACATCACTTACTTCATCTACAAGAAAGATTCAAGTCTTCCTCCTAGTTTGTACGTTTCATGGGTATTATTTGCAGGTATCAGTCCCTTGGTCAAGATTTCTCTCCCCCCAGTGACAATTGGAGCCATCAGAACAATTGCAAAATCCTCTTTCAGGGAGCTGGGTAAATAAAGCAAGTTTCATATCCTGTCACCACCTGTGACCTGGTAGTTTAACAGTTGAATTATTTATATAATTGAGCAAAAAAGTGGGCAGGCAACACACTGTATCTTTACACTAGGCCAAAAAATAAAGTCAAAAGAGAATCAGAACAACTTGCTATCAAACTCACTAATATGCTCTACCTTTTGGCCAGCGCTGAGGTGGTCGGGCAGTTGGACTTCAAAGACTTTGTACTGAACTACTCTAGCCTACCTGTTAACCGCCTTTGGAGACTGAATACCTAACTGGGAAGAAAACAAAATCAGCTCTGGGATGAGCTGATCTCCTTTTACACCAGCAGAAATTGTACTACTTCATAGGGTTTGAATGGGGATTTAAAAAAAATAAATCTTTTTGCCTTGCTTTCTGTTTTGGAAAAAGGCTCAAAGAATTCATGGGAAAGTCTGAACTACCATTTTCAGGCTTGGTGTTTTCATTATTAGAAATTAAAAAAAAAAAAAAACAGGCAAAATGAGAATCTTAATTTTTTAATAGCACTTCCACAGCTGCCATGTGACTCTCACTCCATAAACTGATAGCAACCTATGTCAAAGAACATATGCAATATAACTTCCATAAAAAGGTCGCTTTATTAGGGCTGAGCCCCGGTGCATACATATGGGTGCTGGATGTGTAAGCTACAGAAGCACACCACTTACCGTCACTCTGCTTGCAGTCAGGAGGTGCTTAGGTACAAGGGTCTCCCCTTGCTTACAGAGCCCAGCCCTGCAGCATTGCTGTAGGACTCCCCTTGTACCTGGATTTAAGCCCATAGAACCATCAGTCAACAGGGACAACAGTGAGGAATCTTTACAGAACATTTTCATGAAATAAGTAACAATTGTGTGATAATTTTGTGTAATAATTTTGTGTACAGGAACTTGAGATTCCCTTTTTACCTCTTTCTTGAATCAAGCCACAAATGCCGTTGCTTAAGAACGCCAAACAAGCTGAAGTAGGCAAGTTTCTCGAGAAACAGGAGGTGGAAATGACAAAAATGGAATGATAGGCAAATTAAAGGCTAGAAAAAAAAAAAAAGCAAGATCTATAAATTCTTTAACAAGGATAACAAAGACTGAATGAAATCAGGAAGTTTACATGTGTACATACGTATAGTTGATGCTCAGAACAGCTACGTGTTCTAAGAACAGCTTAGGAATCTAGGGGTTCTCTTAAACAGGACAATGAACATTTATATTGCATGGGTGAAATTTTATGATCTGCTAACACAACATTGGGGGTAGGCAGTCAAATAGACAGCCCTGACTACAAAAATCAGCATTCTAGAATTCTAGACCCACCTTTGATGCTAGACTGATCCATGACCTTTAGCAATCCACTTCCAACATTTTAAAATGGAAATTGCACTTAAAGAAATTCTATGAGTGCTGGAGAAGTGAGTTTTGACAACTCATGTTAGCGAGAGAAAATGTTCTGTGGTTAATATTACAGAATTCCCTCACTCTCCAGTAATGTTTTTTTTTCTAGATCCAGAAACTTAAATAAAAATGAAGCCTGAGTCTAGCAGAACATTCCTTCCCGCTCTTCCCTCCGAATTTTTCAAGAGCTCTTCACCCCAAATTCTATTTTGGATTAAGTCTGAAACGTTTCATTCAGCTAAATTGGAAGCAAATATTGAACTACAGGTCAGACCTTTCAAATATTACGTAACAGAAAGAAAGTATGATCACAGAGAAGTTGAAAAGCCCTAATACAATATCAAAACAAATTAATCACTGAAATAAACTTACGTATTGAAAACACTGAAATTAAGTGTTTAAGTGTTTTATCTTGCCTGAATTTGACAGGTATTACCCGTTATCAGATTCATTCAACCCCTCTGAATCTCTGCCCTTTCACTATTCTTTAGAGAAAAGGAAAAAAATCTCACTACCTCCAGTTCCAAAACACTTCCCCAGCCTAAGCACTTTAGGAAATCCTGTGAAGGTTTTACGCCAATTTGAAACCCAGCAGAAATAGCTCCATCCACGTGCAGCGATCTGCAGTTGGCAAGAGGAACAAGGCATTACGCCGCTGCTCCCATCTTTATCATTTACACTACGACCAATAGAGCACTGGGCATGACAGGTTGTTTTTTTTTTTTTTAGTACTGGCAGAAGTTACTACGGCAGCTGCACTGGTAATTACGCTACTCACTGTGTCCCATGAATCACATTCCTCTTGAAGTCCCCTGCCCAAGAACTGTCCTCACTTTCATCTTCACTACTTAAACTGTCAGACTTGAAAGCTCTCACATCCACTGCAGCAGATTTCATACAATACGCTCTTTCTACAGTAGGTGCTTCTTATTTTGAGTGCAAGAAAAAAAAATAGACTCTGTTCTTCTGAAGCACTTCAGCTAAATCAAAACCTAATCATTCAGTAAAGTATAAAACTGCAAGTCCATTTCCTTTTTTCCTTCCCATGAATAGAGTAGAACTGGTCAAATGCTCCTGAAGTTATCTATGATAAGTCCTAGTGGATCAAGGCTCCTTTAGCTTCAACCGCATTCACCCTCCTGGTGTGCAGGCCTTGTAAATACCTAACATCACGTTCTTGCTGCTCTAAATACCTCAAACTGCTTTTTTTTTTTTTTAAATAAACAAAAACTTCCTTCTTATCCCAACACACAGATACAGGCTTTGACAAGAATCTTTGCATTTTGTATTTTCAGAGTTCTCCAGATGTCTCTTGTCATCTTCAGGAACTGCTAAATCACTCCTGCAAACTCTTCAATATGCTTCATTTCATACAGTTTCATTTTGACATCATCATTCACCTTGTTTTCCACCTTAGTTTCAAAAATATATTAACACACACTTTTAGCTTTGAATTTTGATAATCACATTCTCAATTTTGTACCAAAAATTGACACTTTTCTTTCCCACCTCTGATTTTGTGTTTTATTCTACCGTATCACAGCCGACTTCGCCAGCTTTTGCAAAGGACTTTTATCGGGATGGTGCGAGAATCTCTCGAGTTCCTTCCTTGCTTCTCTGCTGACCAACACACATCTACAACAGCTTAAAAATATAACGCTGATTTTATTTTTAATCTCTCACATCGCAACTAACAAGTTATTGCACTTTGATTCTCCACAAAGGACCCAGGGAAGCTGCATGGCCTACTCATTCGATTACAAAGCTATGCTACGTCTTCAATCCATATTATACACATCTTTCCCTCCCAAATTATCCTGAAAGTCTAATATTTTTAGTTTATAATGTCTAACTCACGACATTTTACACTTTTGAAGTTGTTCATGGACAGGACAGCTTGGAAAAGGAAGACCAACAGCAATTGGAATGGCTGAATATTTATATACAAAACAAGTAATAAGTATAAAAAAATTGGAACCATTGCTCTTCACAAACTGAACAACGTTTGTTAAACTCTGTACAGGAATCTTCCTTGCAATAATATGAAGTATCGAAGACATAAAGCTCTTATTTGTAATGATGTCAGCCTACCTGCAGAATAAAATGCTTAATGCTTCAGAAAAGAAATAAGGAGAAATACACCAGCTTCCACGAGGAATAAATAGCTTGATCACCTGTTGAACACTGAAGGATAACCTTAAGAGTATTCATTAAGTGTTCTTCCCACAAAAAGAGAAAATGTGATGTATCTGCTGCTAAATGCACCTGTGAAACTCATCTAAACCCTCTCCTATTAGCATAAGTTTAACAATTGGCTTTGACAAGAAATCAAAAACGTATTTGGCAGCCAGGAACTGGAAGAAAAATGGTTGCAGAAAGAGCTGCAGGAAACAGTTCTAAAAAAAATGGTGTACAAGTTATGGAAGCTTTATATTATTTATATATTGATCTGCCTATGGCTGTAAATCAGCAGAAGCGTGTGAAACTTGATTTCTTTCTTCGTCTTGCTAAACATTATTAATTTCTAGGCTCCACTGGTATGCCTGATGTTGTGCAAATAAAACCAGAGGGAATGGTCTATGCTAAGCTCGGGGGGAACAAAGCCAGTTTTGAGATGTAACAAGCACTCATCTCTCCTCAGTTTGGTAACTTAAAACAACTACTTCCCATTAAACACTTGGCTTTAAATTACCTTTCTTCAGTTCTTATCTCTTACTTGAAACATTGATAGAAAACAGAATATTGTGACAAAAAATGTAACATTTGCAAACAATTAGTGCAGAAATCAATGGGAATCACTCATACGCCAGAGGAGTTATACAACAGCCCCAGCAGTCAGCACTGCAAGATATATTGTGTTGAACTTGCCTAACTCAAAAGAGCGATTACATTTAAAAAAAAAAAAGAGAGCAAATAATATTAGACAAAATCCCTTCTGGTTTAGACTTGAGCGCTCTGCTTGCACGTTGCTAACCACTGTTAGGAGAAATTCAAACAACCAAGAGGCAAAAGGCACAACACCAACACCCAAGCCTCTTACAATGGCAGTAAGCTTCGGTGCTTTTTTAGCCAACGACTCGAGGTCTTCATTTATTTATTTTTCTAGCTATAGCACTCCCATATCGATTTTAAGAGTCTCAAAGCATAAATGTATGTTTTCAGAACACACATATCATTTTCCTGTGCTCACTTTTGTCCCTTTTCCCCAGAACTCCAGATACCAGTGATCAATATTGCTCTCAATTCCCCTTAATGACCCATTTTCCAGCTACACTGGAGGGGCTGGGGGTGGAGAAGTAAGGGCAGGAAGAGGGACGATTTAAGAACAGAATTTTCTCTTTCACGTTGCTGGATCTCCATACAAAAAGAGGACTGAAGATGCTACACAAAACATGAAGGAATGCATTGTGCAAATGCAACAGGAACAAACAAGATACCAGCAGATATACAAAGGAGTATTATTAGAGGCAAAAGAACAATCAGCAGCTCATTTTAGCAAATGCTCAACTATCCATTGATATTACAGACATGGGAAATCCTTCTGGGTTCTGTGTGATGCGTGTATTTAATGTACAGTATCCATTCATATAAAACTTTTGTTAATATAAGATGGATATAAAGGTATTTAACACTTTAAATAGAAAAAGGTGGGGGGGGAACCATCCATAGCAAAACAGAAAATCTGGATAAAATCGCCTACCTGGACAAATCTAGTTACACTAAAGAGTTTTTAATGCTAGATCAGAGGATACCTAGAAAATAATCATAGAGAAGTTCACAAAAAAAAATTAACTGAGGCTCAGCAACAACCAAAAAACTTCTAGAGTAAACACCTTTAGCATTTTAGATTTTGGCCCAGGATTCTGACACGTGATCAGCTTTTACGTGTAAACCTGTATTTAGCATTTGCTGGTCATACAATTAACAACATTACTTTGAGCAATGAGGGAGTTGGAAAAACATGTGAACCACAGACAAAATCAAATATTATTAAATATTAACTGTAATGATTTACAGTTAATACTGTAAACTGAAAACAGTTATTTGTCAAAATACTAACTTTTTTCTACTCCAACTTTAAAAGCCAGTAGGGACAGATAAGCACAGAGAATATTTTCATCTTCCAACAGGAGACTGACCAGGGATCCTCAGGACTAGTTTCCCACCACCGTAAGCAGAGCTCAGAGCTGAGCAGCAGAAGTGATCTGACAAGGACTCTGACAGGACAGGATTTCACACATTTTGTCAGTAGGCAGTATTTCTAATCAACAACATCTAGAACAGATAGAGTTGATTGCTTTATTCATAGAAACAGACAATAAGAATTCCCCAAGTAAGACTTAGCATTGCTTCATCAAGATGTAACACATTCTTCCTCTATTACAGAAAGCACAAAACTGAATCCTTATGGCACAAGCAGAACAATTTTGAAGCAGATTCACTTTTTTTCATATCCCAAAAGTAAAAACACAAATTTGACCAAACATTAAAACTGTTTTTAAGAAAATAAAAGCTATACTCTGCAAAGATATTAGTTACAATGCATGTACCACTATGAGAGGACACTTTGATATTTGACCTTTGGAACATTTCCCATGCATTTTTAGTTCTTCCAGACTTTTCAAGACTTCTAAAGCCTTTGCAGTATAAGCAAGGTATGCATGCACAGGGCAGAGGGGAAAAAAAAAAAACAGCAGCTTTAAACATTTCTCTTTGGTTTTGAATTTTGAATAAGTCTCCCCCGATATATTGGAGGGGAGCAGTTTATAAAGAAAAAATTATTACTTACAAGGAAGTAAAAAAAAAAAAAAAAGATCTCTGGATTCTCAGAAACTCATTTTCCCCACCTGTGATAAAGGTTTAGTTAATACTTGTAGGCACTGTTTTCTCAATGGAAGTTCTTTTCCAAAGGTCTTCACCTGTGCCTTTAAACCAAACTCCAGATCAGACCTTCCTTCCTCTATGAAGCCTCAGCCCAGGGGCCACCTTTGTTCACACCTGTAAAGAATTTAAAACAGAGCTAAGATACAGTTCACTCTGTCGCAGAGGTCCTAAAGCTTTGCAAAGTTTACATCCTAAAACCACGGCAGTAATTTTTAGTATGTTGAAGCCGGCACCACAGAACAATAAATAAAAAGATTTGTTCGTGTCACAGACAAAGCAGAAATCCAATGTCTCTAACAGCTAAACCATAAAGCTCTAAATCACCACACAAAAATATTAACCTGCTGCAAAACACTAGTGAACAAAGTTATATTTTTTTTACCTGAAGCTGGATCCATCTTGACCTTTCTGCTAGCTTCCACACTCCTGCAGAATTTGTGCTTAGCTGTCCAGGGCATCCATCCCAGCTCATCCACAGCTGAAGTAGCTCGTTATGTATATATGAGCTTCCATCCTACACCTTGGAATGTTTTGATAAGACAATTCTGTCACCTTTTGTTGATAACGAGTATCAGGCATTTCAAAACAACTGTTAAGGGTTTTTACAGCCCTCTGTCATTCCCAACTCCCTGTCAAGCCCACAGGAACATCACTGACCGCATGCAGGGCCCAGTGGGGACACAAAGCAATTTCACCTCAGCCCCTGTGCCTGAGGAAACCAACCTCACCTCCACGCCAGCAAGCGAGCCTGGGGGCTCCGGCAAAGCCAGGAGCCAGCGGATCCAAGGCTGGGGGCGTGCTGGGCACCTCACTGGGGAGCCTGACACCGCCACCACCACCTGCATGAGTGGGGCCAGCCGGCGAGGCTGTGGGCACGCAGGGGGGCTGCAAGCCCCTCAGCACCCCCACATCCGCCTCAGGGCTCCCTCAGTCCCTGTAGCCCCCTCAAATCCTCCTCAGAGCCCTCTCGGAGTCCCCCCCCAGCTCCCCTCAGCCCCTGTAGCCCCCTCAAATCCCCCTCAGACCCCCCCCCCAAGGTCCCCTCAGCCCCTGTAGCTCCCTCAAGCTTCCTCAAATCCCCCTCAAATCTCCCTCAGACCCCCCTCAGGTCCCCTCAGCCCCTATAACCCCCTCAAATCCCCCTCAGACCCCCCCCCCAGGTCCCCTCAGGGCTCCTTCAGCCCCCGTAGCCCCTTCAGAGTCCCCCCAGATCCTCCTCAGACCTCCCCAAGCCCCCTCAAATCCCCCTCAGACCCCCCCAACCCCTCTCAAATCCCCCTCAAACTCCCCCAAGCCCCCTCTAATCCTCCTCAGACCCCCCCCAGCCCCCTCACGCCCCTCACCCGAGCACCAGCACCCCCTCAACCCCCCCCCTCCTCTCTCCTCCCCTCATGGCGGCCGCTGAGGCGATCGGCACCGCCCCCCCACCCCCCCCACCGCAGCCGCCCCGCTCCGCACCTTTCCCTCCCTCCTGGCTGCGCGCCCCTACCCGGGCGGCTCCGACTCCAGCTCCGGCTCCGCTCCCCGCCCCACAACCGCGGCGCCTCCCCCGGGAGAGCGGAGGGAGCCGGGGGGAAGGAAGCAAAGGGGGGGGGGGGCGCAGCGAGCCCCGTGCCCGCCGCCGCCGAGCCGCCGCCGCCGCTCCTTCCCCATCAGCCCCCAGCGCGGAATGAGGCTCCGCTCCCAGCCGGGCTGTCCCCCTGGCCGGCTGCGCCGCATTCCTATTGGCTCCCACCTCCCCTCGTCTCCTCCGATTGGTTAGAACTCGGAGGAGCCCGGCGGTGATTGGAGGAGGGAGACGTCGCTCAAGCCGGAGCCCCCGGGAGCGCCCGCCTCCGCAGTTATCAGGTTAGTGTTCGCCGCGGCGCTGGGCTCGGGGTTCCGAGCGGAGCTGCTGGAGCCCGCCGAGACCTCCCGGTACCGGCCTCGGGGGGAGGAGGAGGAGGGGGGGGGGGTCAGCACCACGCCAGCGGAGCCGGGCACAGCCGAGCGCCTCCCGCCAGCAGCCGCGGCCATGGACATGAAGAAAAGGATCCACTTAGAGCTGCGGAACAGGACGCCCTCAGATGTAAGCAATGTGTGGCCGTGTCCCCCCCCTCCTTTTTTAAAAAAAAAATCCATCCCGTATTTTATTTAATGATGATTTTTTTTTTTTTTTGGGTTCAAACGTGTCGAAAACGTGCGGCGCGGTTGGGGAGGGGGCGGCGGGGGAGGCGGCAGGGCCGCTGCTGCTGCTCGCTGCTGCCCTTGAGGTGCCTACCTGTGCGTGGCCGTGCCCGGTGCCCGGCTCGGGGGGCTCGGGGGGGAGCCCCCCTTGTGCCCTATAGGGCCGGGGAGGGGACCCCCGGGGACCCCCGGGGCTGCTCCCGGCCCCGCCGGCGTGAGACGCATTGAAAGGGGGGCCGGCGGTTGCATGAAATAAAAATAAGTTGGTGCTCCTCTCCGGCGTGTTTAGTTCGCAAATATTTGGACTGGGTGCTGGGCAGGGAGAGCAGGCAGGGGCTGCGAGTGAGTTGCGAATGGTTTTGAGTTTAAAGTGCGTCTTCGTTTCTGTGCAGTGATCAGGCAGGAGAGACTGGGGAGCCATATTTGTAACTTTGTAGTCCTCATGAACGCGCCCTTTCTCTCTCTCTCTCTCTCTCTCCCTCTCTCCAGATGCTGAGAAGATAAAAAAAAAAAAAAAAAAGAAAAAGAATTTTAAGCAAATAACTTAGCGTTTTTAGAGGGCTGGTGTCGCTGCCCGTAGTGTGAGCGTGGAATACAAAATATTGCAAGAAATAAATGCACTCTCCACCCCCTCCATCCCCGCACACACACACACACACGCACAAAAAGGCTGGATGTGTGTGTGTGCGTGTTTTCCTTGTTTTATTCCCCCCCTTTTTTAAAATCTTTTTCCCCTTCCTCCCCCTTTCCCCATTTCGCCCCCTTTTTTTTTTTTTTTTTTTTCTCCCCGAGATTGGGGGAAAAAATGAAAAAAAAAAAAAACAACAAAAAAACAAGCTTCGGGGGCTTGTTGTTCGGCGCCTTCCCCGAAAATAAACGGCGGCGAGAAACTTTGGCAGGACACGAAAATAGTCCGGGGACGGGGCTGTTGGGGAGGGGGGGGGGTGCCCAGATGCGGTCGGGCCCCGCTCCGACGGGCGGGCGGCGGCGGCGGGGCTCGAACCCGCGGCCCGGAGCGGGGGTCCCGGCACCCCCAGCCCCCAGTTCCTCAGCCCGGGGGGGTGTAGGGGGGGGTATTGGGGGGGGGGGGGTGTTGAGGGGGGGCTGCCCCAGCCCCTCGGTGTCCCGGAGTTGGGGGGAAGGGGGGGTCCCACACGTTGTGGGGAGGCTGGAGAAGGGGTCGCGGGGGGTGCCCCGGAGTGGGACCGGGCTGGAAGCGGGGCTGGGGCCGGGGAGGGGAACGTACCTCTCCGGGAGGCGCCCGGGGGAGGGCGGAGGCAGGCGGCTGGAACGCGGCCCCGCGGCTTTTCGGTGGCCAGCGCGACGTCTGAAGGGGGGGGGGGGGGACACAAAGGCGGGCAGATTTTATGTAACCTGCTCTTTAAACTTTAAAAAAAGTCCTGGGCGAGCGGCGGCGGCAGCAGCAGCAGGAGGAGGAGGAGGAGGAAAGAGGAGGAAGGAGGAGGGCGCCCGCCCGCCCGCCGTAGCGGCACACGCCGCCGGCCCCGGCGAGGCGCGGCCCTGCCCGGCCCTCAGGGCTCGTTGTTGGGGGGTTCCCGGGGGGAGCCGCCTCCCCTCCGCCGCCTCAAGCGGGCCGGGACCGGGAGCTCGCCCCCCGGAGCCCCCCCCTTAGCCCGGCTCAGCCGCTCCTGGCATCGGCAGCGCCACGGCGCAGCGCAAGTAGGACGCGGCGCCATGTTGTGTCCTCCCCTCCCGAACCGCTGAGGAGGAGGAGGGAGGAGGAAGAAGAAGAAGGAGGCAGCGAGGCCGGGCCGGGCGGCGGCGGAGCGGGGCCGGGCTTCTCCCCTTCAGCGCCCGGGGGGCGGCGGGGGGCGGCCGGGCGGCGGCTCCGACATGACGGGCGGCCGCCGCGCTGCCATTTTGTCGCCGCTGTCGCCGGGCTCTGACAACGAGCCCTCCCCCCCCCCACCCTTCCCGGGTGGGGGAAAATCGCCTCCCCGCCGCCTTCCCCAAACCCTTTTTCGTTGTTTTTTTGCCCCAACCGGGCTCCTGGGGGGCTGCCCGGGGTAGGGGGGGCGCTGGGGCGGGGGGCGCTGCGGCCGTGAGCCGGGAAAACGCCTTCTTCTGGGCAGGGCCCGGCGGGAAGGTAGGTCTCCGCTTTGCCTTTTTTTTTTAAACCCTTTTAATATATTTTTACATCTTTTAAGGCATTTTTTGTCTCTCTTTTTTTTTATTTTTTTAAATTTTTTTACTTTTTGCCTCACGCGCGCGATGCCGGAGGCTTGTTCACCATTTTAAGCAGCCGCCCCGCAGCCCAAAGGCTTTTAATCCTTTTAACGCTTTCTGGACAGTGCCTCCCCCTTCCCAAACACACATCTGGGTTTTGTTCACTTCGTGCTCTGCTCGGACTTACACAGAGGGAGCCCCTGTTTGGTGGCGTTTCTCTGTTCCCCTGCAGCTGAGGCACGTCCTCCAGTGGGCTGTAAAGCAGCGCTTGGTTAACCTGGCTTTTATTTTTATTTCTTAACCCGTCAGCCTTCAGTTCTGTCACCGAGCTGTCCGCAGCAGCCCTCCCAAGCTCTGTTGGCCCATCAGGTCCATTAGAGGAGTAAATCCGTCCAGGTTTGGTGCCGTTTGGGACCGCCGCTGTGTTTACGGTCGGTTCTGTGGAAGCCTCGATCCCAGACCGTGCACGTGCAGCTAGGGGTGCAGGCTGAACGCTGCCTTTCTCAAGTCCCCGTTAAAATAAGTCAGCTGAATCCACCTCCTGCTTTAGGTGAGACGTTTGAAAGTGAGTTTAGAAGCAGGTCTAGAGCCAGGTGTCGTTTATTTACGGATTTCTAAGTCTTTGGGCATGAACAGGACGGTTCTGTCAGTCGCTGGTGTTAGTCTTTGCTTTGATAAACGCACAGCGTTGCTTGTGTGATCTGTGAAAGATCATCCTCCTCGAAGTTTTAGATGTAACATATATAAATCTCTGTGAAAATAACTGCACAAGTATACGTTTATTTACTTCTTTTGGAGCTTCTGCCCTATAGGTGCTCAATTCTTGCCGTACATCTCCTATTTAATCCAGTACCAGAGCTTGCAGGATCAGAACTTTTTGTAAATCAAGGTTAGGTAAGAGGACGTTGATAAGGTGTTGGGGTTCTTTCTGATCTTACCGGACTATTTTATGCCATGGGTTATCTCATACAGTCCTGGTGTAGAATACTATGTAATACTTCACCTGTTAAATCATACAGCCCTGTAAGGTTACATGTTAGCTAATAAAATGTAATATAAGTGTCTCAAAGTGGATTATACAGTAGCTATTTCTTCCTCAGACTCCTTTTATGCTGTGTTGTGTTTTTTTCCTCGCTTTGTTTTTGGATGAATTCACTGTTGGTGAGAGGTCTGGGGTGCCATAGCATCAGAAATCTGGTTGTGGTTGTGTCTGTGTGTCTTGGTGAGACATCCCTGGTTTGGGTGCATGAAATCCGTGCTGCACAGCCACGGCTGAGCTTTCACATCCACTCTCAGCCCGGTTACTTCGACTTTTTTAACCCATTACACGACATGGTCACTTAGGGTAGTGCACTCACCAAAGAATTTGGCACTTTGCTGATGGTATCGCTGTACTCTCCTGTTACACATAACTGCCTGCCAGAAATTGGCCAGATGCAGCTATTTCACGTGGGTTTCCTCCAAACCATCAGCCAGTGGTGGCATAACCACTGCCCTCCATAGAGAGGATGCTCACCTGGGCACACTCGAGGGTGTTCCCGTTCATTCCTGGTGTACGTAGCTCGACCTGTACCATGCAGAGGCAGTAAAACAAGGTCAGTGCTGAGGGGGACTCCCTGGCTGCGGGACGCAGAGCTACGTTTTTGAAATACTGCACAAAACTCCGGTGGCTTAGAGCTACCATGCCGGGTCATTTAGTCTGAGGATTGAATGCTGCTTTTGAAAGGAGCTTTATCAGCTCAAAATTGTGACAGTGATAAAATACTGACTGCAGCACTGGGTATTTCTTACAGTTCTTCCAACTCTTTGTTGCGCTTTAAAGCTTATTTGAATTCTGATTTCTCGCTGGTTTTCTGTAGGTTTTAACACTGAAGGGAAATAGAGTGCAAGCATCTATGCAAAGTGTGCTCTCATATGAAGAATATAAATAAAAAGCTCTTTCCCCAAGCTAGTTCCTTGGTGTGATGCTCATAATAACAGTAAAGAGTTTAAAGTGATAGGCATCCCTTTAAAGACCTGCATTTTAAAGAAGCTTGGGTGTTGTAAACGGGTACAGATACACGCTTTCTTACTCCTCCCCCAGCTGAACCACCTACGGACGGAAAGGGGATCTACTCCAGGTGTGACACCAAGTGGGACAAGAGAGTTGTGTGGTAGTGTTTAGGGTGCCACGGGATCAGCACACACAAAGTAACGCAGCACGTGCAGGTTATCGTGGATTTGTGCAGACTTCAATCACTTCACCACTCAGGTAGCTGACAGCAGGGTGTAGATATAACAAAGAGGTAGCTTTTATCTAATATCAGCAATATCTAAAGGGCAGTCACACTATTGAGCCATGCAAGTGAGTTTGTATCCAGAACTTTTTTAAAATTTTATTTATTTTGGAACTGGCTTAATAAAAATTAATTAAGAAGAGAAATAGCTGGATTTTAAGTGGTGTAATTGTACTGTAAACCATCAGGGAGTGCGTTTTCTGAAGAAACAAGGTTGAAGTGAGGGGGAAAAAAGCTGCTTAGTCCAAATCTGTGGTATAGGCGATGTGGCTGAGTTATGTGTAACTATCCTCGCAGCAGGATTTGTGTATTATGTATCAGTGGATAGGATATACCTTCCTCTAAACCTACACCCAGAACTTCGGAGAGTTTTAAAGTAACATCACTTGCATGCAGGGATTGAGGACTTTATCTTATTTTCTGTATTTAACAGCCCATATTATCTATGCCAGTGATGCCTCTTTAATTGTCCATTTAAATGGCGGAATAATTATCAGTGGTTTTCTTAAATGCTTACGGCCCAGAAGGCTGATGTCGAGCAGTTCTTCCCACTTCATTCTTTCCATGGATTACTCCTTCCTCCCCCACGTCCTCCCGCCTTACAGGTACGGGAATTGCTGAGCTGGGGAAGCCTGAGAAGAGCTGGACCTGCAAAATAGGAGCGGATGCTCGAATGAATGGCTTTCCCTCCAAAGCCATAAAAGAGCTCGGAAAAGCTTATCTTTTGCCGGTGTGCTTTGCTAACGTGTTGTGTAGCAGCTGACATCTCCAGAGCCTGCTCTTGAAGCCGGTGTTAATTTAACCCAGCGCTCCTTGACGCGTGTCCCTGCATCGTCTGAGCCCCTGGAGTTGGGAAAGGAGAAGCAACCAGCATCAGTGTGAAATTTAAAAAGCATTTAATGTAGAGATGGAGCGATTTAATCACTTAACATATCTGAAACAGCCTCTGTCTAAATAAATATTTGGGGTCTTTTCGGAGTTCTGCCGCCAGCAGTAGAAACCCAAATGGAAACTAGTGACTTTTTGAATGGAACAGCTTTCTGTGTCCCCAAAGTCTGTCCCTGATTTATTAATTAGTGAGCTGCTCATGCATATGGCCATAGTGACCCTTGTAAATGTGTGGAAGTGTGTTTATGTGACTCATGGGGTTTCTTGGCTGGGGGGGCTGTTCCTTGAGGAAGGCAGCAGTAGGTTATCTGCTCTGCAAGTTTTGTAGTGCTGGAAAGGCTTCATAATTGGATCCGAGCGTAAGGTGCATTCAGAGCCGTGATGACTTTTAACCCTTCTGCTGCTTCTCTGTTTTACTTGGAGCAGGAGGTTTCTGGCAGGAGCAGAGTGAAGGGTTATAGGGCTGCTTGGAGCTGTGTTAGTTGCTCTCAGAGCTTATGGCTGTGGCATATAAAACGTTAGAGGGTAGAAAAAGTAAATTCATTGCTATTCAGCCAGATTTTTCCGAGCTGTGCGAGCAGCCTCACGCTGGCTCTGAAGAGCGAGTAGCTTCGGCTACAAAGACATTGAAAAGAAAAGGCACGTGTTTCCCCATCGCTCATCCCTTTTGCCGGGGCAGAGGTGAGGCAGGAGCCAGGAGGAGGTTGTCCTGCGCCCAGCCTCGTGGCAGCAGGCATCAACGAAGCCCAACTTTCAGGTGGGGATCCCTAGCATGGATCCTTCAGCTTAGGAGGAGTTTAAAAGGTGGCTTTAAACTGCTTTTGTTGTGCTTTTGTACAGCGATATCAGCAACCTGCTAGAGCCAGGGCTGGACCAGATGCCCACAGAGGTGCCCATGTGGTCCCTGGGCATTTTTTTCTTCTTGTTCCTTGGTTGCATCCTCCCACGTCCCGAGCGTGGGGAAAGATGCAGAAGAGGAATTCAAATACAAAAGTTTGGGGGTTGCATCATTTGGAGAAACCCGAGATGAATTTTGAAGCCCGATGGTAAATTCACATGATTTCATACAAAATCGGCAAAATAACTGGCCGTGGAGGGGTTGCATTGGACCAGGCTGCAGTGGGAACTGCTCTGCTCAGCATCAGTGAATCGCGTGGTACCGAAAGGGGGATAGTTGGTGTTTTGTGGCCGTACTTGGGGCAGGATTTCTCCCTGCCCCAGGATTTGCAGATTGCCCAGAGCCTGTGCAGGGTACCTGGTAGTTGGCTAGCTGGCTTTCAGAGGTTAAGACGTACTGAAAGTGAGTTAAATCTATTATTTTGAGCAGCTGAGATGCGATAAAAACTTTGAGGACACATACCAAAATCCAAGGTAAAACATTGGTTTGGTAAAAGGGGAAAAAAAAATATAAATAAATCACAACACAACCTTTACTGCTGTCACCTGTAGCTGGTGCCCGTGAGTTTCATTCTGCCATGTTTGTTGGCAGGTGGGTCAGAGGACACCAACACTGTTGAATTTTCCCTTCCCTGCTAAATTCAAGCTAGAAAATCCTCTCCGTGTGGCTCAGTCCTCACCCCGAGCGTCTCCGCCGGGCGATCCCGAGCTGCCGATGGGGAATCCCGGTGGCAGGACGCCAGGAGGCAGCGGGTGCCCTGCCACCTGCTTCCCTCCCTCCCTGCACACGGGCAGCACGCCAGGGGCAGGGGGGGCACGCAGCCAGCCTGGGGAGGCCGAGAAGCAATTTGGGTGCGTCTTCATCGGCGTTGAACCCAACGTTGGGTTAGAGGTGGTTCCACCTTCCTCCATCTCTCGCCGTGAGCTGTGTGGGGTACCATGGGGTGCTCTCGGGTGGCTGAGGATCTGTCCTCCATGCAGCTGGCAAAGGGCCTGTTTACATGCTGATATTTAAACAAGAAATAAAATCGGGTCTTTAGGTTGGTTACGTTTTGGTGACCATCTTAGAGCAGAAGTTATCATGTCTTTGAGCCTTCAGAGCTGCTTCGCTGGCACCAGGTACCGTATGAGATGTTTTGTTCAAGCATTTTTGGCCTGGTCCCATTGCAGGTGGTACCTGAAATGAGATTTTTTTGCAACATTTAACTCCTTGCAGAAGTAACTTTGGGAGAAGCTTGTAAAAGTTGAGCATGGAAAGCATCCTGGGCAGCTCCGCATGAACGATGGGCTCCTTGCAAGGCTTGGGCAGTGTCCTGAGCCTTGTCAAAGCCATTCTGCCCCCAGCCAACGAGGACATCGTGACCATGGATGGTTGGCTTCTCTGGAACCTTGAGGCACAAACGGGGTGGAATAGAAACCTAAGGAGATCTGTTTCTGCTCAAGGATCCCCAGCTCTGCGTGAGAGCAGATCCAGAACACAGCGCACGCACAGGAGGAGCCCAATTTTTCGCACGCTGGCTACAACAGCAGCAAAGGTCGTGCTCGGTCTGTACCGTGGAGCAATGCAGGGCTTTGCGCACGCTATGCACAATTCTGAGACCCAAAAAAAACACACCCCAAAGACAGAAACCCAAGTGTCTTGAAGAAACGTTTGTACAACCGGGAGAAAACAAAGCTCTGCTTTCAGAAGTCCTTTGGATTTGGCTTCCATTTGGCACAGCAGGCGTCCCTGCTTCCCACAGCTCTGCCCTCCTCCAGATGAAGTTTCCATTGGGTTGGGAGGAACGAAGGACATCTCTCCGTGTTCCCTGTGTCATTTGGTTGGAAGCAGTGCAAGACAAAGTTAACATCCTCTTCTTTACCCATTTTTTGGGTTAAAATGCCGCGTGGTGGGATATCCCTATCCTTGAGGTACCATATACAGCGTGCGCTTCAGAAGCATCCGACCCACTGGGCTGGAAATGTTTCAGCTTTTGTTCTTTCTGCTTGTAAAGCCAGCAGTACGGTGCTTGGAAATTCACCTTTTATCTTTGCAAAGTTGTGTTCACAGCTGTGTCCTTCCATCACGCTGCGAAGCCTCCAGCCGCAGACCTGGCTTCGGGACCCGAGTCCCCCTTCCCTGGATCTCGCAGCCCGTGGGCTGCAGGCTTTCTGCAGCAGAAAACTTGTGGTTTATGTGCTGCTGTGGGAATGGAGACTAAAGGTTAAGGCGATGACTTGTGCTGCGTGGTGGCTGGCCGTGTGTAACCAAATTCTGCTCATCGTGTGTGTTGGGAGCTCAGCAGAGCGAGGAGGAGGGAGGCAGGGGAAGGAGGGTCTGCCCCATATTCTGCCCCGTACCTACACGTGCAGCCAGCTGTGATCTCCTTGCTGAGGCTCCCGTGAAATCCAGCGGCTGTTTCCACGTGGCTGCCTGTGCTTGCCCCAGGAACGGGCTGCAGCCTCGCAGTACGCAGCGGGGCTGTATTAAGGGTACCCGGTGTGTGGCTGGTACCCGTGCTGGGACACAGCCCGAAGCTCGCCATCTGAAGGCTTTGCTGAAGAAACTGCAATCCCTTCATGTACATTCATGTGGCTGCTGAGTGCTAAAGCCCGATACCAGCAAACCACAAAGCAAAACTCGGGCAGAAAGGCGCAGACGTCCAGGAAGCACCTGCGAGGGCGGCGGTGCATTGGATCGGGACCCCAGCTCCTGCCTCTCCCCACGAGGTTGGCACCCAAACCCCGCAATGCACAGGCTGCAGCAGGACACAGCCACGTTGAGGACCTCTCACCTTGCTCCAGTTTGTAAGAAGACTCAGAAAAAGCGCTGGCTTGCATCAGGCAGAGGCTTATCCTGGGGTTTGGTGGCAGAATATGAGGGAAGACACGTCCAGAAGTCACAGCCGTACTGCGCGTCGGCGGGGTGTTCATGCAAAGTTCAGTGGATGTTCAGAGAGTGATTCAGGAGCTGGGATTTTCCTTAAAATTATGCAGCTTTCCGAATACCAGGAGGAATAGGCTCGCAGTCCCTGTGTCACCCTTCCGTGGTGGTGAGCTGTTTCAGCTGGAATGTGGCCCCACGAAGGTCACTTTCGGCTTCTCCTCCCTCCACTCCCAGTCACATCCATGCTTGTTTCTCTGTCAAGGCTGTCCTGGGGCGTACCCAGGTAAGGCCCAGCATCCTCAGAAGGGGGAAAAATTTTGGGGAAGGGGGAAAAATTTGGGGGGCAGACCTGCCCGGCAGCCAGCAAGCTGGAAAAGTGTCCCACTGATAACCCGCGGGGCCTCCAAGAGCCGTGCCCGCTCACCAATGGGACATCACTGCCTGACGGGCTCCCGTTAATCACCAAATACTCATCAGTCACCAAATAACGAGTCCTAAGGAGACACGGGCAGGTTGCTGAAGGTGTCTTTAACACTTAGAAAAACCGTCTGAGCCGGTGGCAGTCGTCAGTGCGGGGAGGAGAACTGGCTGCGATGGCACGGGGAGCGCACACCGCAGTGGAGGCAGGAGAAACTCTGCTTCCTTCATCCTTATTCTCACGTGGGTGCTTGCCATGGGATTCCTGACTCTTGGAATAAATAAATTTTGGTACTGCCGTGAGCTCTGCTCCGTGTGCCGTGCTGTCAGGAGTGACTTGGTGTGCTGGGGCACCACGAGCCCCAAAAATAACGCTGCTGGAGCGCTCGCAGCCCACGCTGCCGTTCCCTGATGGAGCCCTTGGATGTGAGCGAGCCTTCGACCTCTTGCAAAAACCAATTTTATTCCGTGGGAGCTTCCCCGTGGAGCTGCTTCGACTCAACTCGTGCCCGGCGTCTCAATTCTGGGCACGGCAAAGAGGAGAGAGGTGCGCTTCTGTGTCAGAACCGGGGTTTTGGAAAGGCAGAGAGGAAACAGCAGCCCTGCCCTAAGAGGAGAAACCTAAAAGCAGAAGGCAGTCGGCTTTTCTTCCACCGTGCTCTCACAAATTCCCTTCCACGGGGTTGTGAGGATGGAGGGAGACGCTCCCCGAGCCCCCCCCGGGAGGTGGGCGCTGGCCCCGCGCTGCCCCCGCAGATAACGGGGCGAGGACGGGGGCAGATAGGCACAGATGTGCTGCTGGGAGGCTTGGCTCCGGGGTGGGGCTTCTTTTATTTCATTTTTTAAATTTTTTTTTTCCTTTTTTTTTTTGTTTGGGGGTGTGTGTGAAGCAGATGTTTGAGACAGCTGAGTGTGGCTGCCCCCGAGCTGATCTCGCTGGAGGACCCTGATACTTCAATGCTGTTAGAGCAGGGAGATAGGCATGTTTGCCTTCAAAGCAGCTTTCCTGCCATCCAAATTTCAATTTTCATTGGGTTTGCTTTGCCTTTTAATGCAATAGATGTATGCGGGACCTGGAGCATCTGCCTCGTTCCTTGGTTTCTTCTAACCAGCCTCTAAAACTCTTCTGGGAGACTTTTGTGTAGCCATTCCCTATCATAATTCTTCTAGGAAAATTGTAGAGTCTTGGAAAACGTATTTCCTGTCTATCTCCGATCCTCCTACTCTCAATGAATCACTTGTGCTCTCGTGTTGCTTTGGGCTGACTTCCCTATTGACTTCAGCGCTTGGGATTTAATTAGAAACCTCGGGATGTTATTGGGAGCTGTAACACTACACAGGGATTCTTCTCCGTGCAGCAGCATTACAGTAATAACAACAAAAAAAAAATTAAGAAAATTAAATATTTGCATATTAACTGTCCTCGGTGCAAACTGAGGAGTTGCTTCATGTTTTTACGTTTTTGCAAACTTCCTTTTATCCCATCCTCTGTGCAAGCAGCAGCATCCTCTTCCTCTTCCAGGCCTCTGAGCAAAGCCCCGTGCTCTGGGTATTTATTTGTGTGCCGGGTTAGAAAGTAACCCCCCGAGATAATTAATTGGTGGAAAAACATCTGGATATCCTCCCGTGGGTGAGGCCTTCCTGTGGAGTCACAGTGCTGGGGGCAGAGCTTCCAGAGAGCACCCCCCAAAAAAATCATTCAGCCTTTGCTGCTCGTGGCCTCGAGCCCTGCGGGGCTGCCCCAGCCCCGGGGTGAAACCCGCAGTTTTGCTCGGGGTGGGGCTCCCTCAGCTTCTTTTTGTTGCTCTGTGGCCGTTAAAGATAGCACCTGCAAAAAAGGGCAGTGATGTTTTTTTTTTTCTTTTTTTTAAAAAAAAAAACCCTGCCTGTAACGGGCAGGTCCTGTGCTGCTCAGGCTCACAGGACATTATCTCACCCCTCCGGTTGAACCTCCTGGCTGCAATGGGGCAGGGGAGATAAGAAAAGAGGGGTAAAGCTCCTCCAGGAGCAGCTACACTGGCTAAACGTCCCCTGCCAGCATCGTGTGGATCACACCTTGTCATTGCCCATCGAAGCAGTCACCTCCTTGGAGCTCGTCTTCCCCTAAAGTGCAGCGGGGCAGCCCTAACAAGAGGGGCTGGGGCAGACTCCGGGGGTCCGGGTTAGGTTTGCCCGTGCCCACATTTGGGTTTTGGGGCTTCCTGAAAAGCCTGATGAGTTCTTGCATGGAGCAGGAGCGGTAGGTTAGTTTAAAAACCCTGTTTTCCTATTTTTTTAAGAGTGCATTTTGCCCGCGTTTACCAAAGACAAACCTACTCCTTACAACCAAATACCTCAAGCCAGGATTAATGTTTCTGACTCGGTTCCACCGCTTACAGAACAACACAGAGGTTGAAGCAAAGCCCAACAACCACGCTCACCTGGCGTGCTGGCAAAGTGAGGGCTCGGACCCGGGAGATAACCTCTTGCATACCCGCCAGCTTGATGGAATACCTTTCATTTCTGCCTGAGCTGGGAGTGAAATCTTGATTCCCTTTACTCACCTCTTTTCGCGTTTCTCTTTTTTTCCAGGTTAAAGAACTCGTTCTTGACAACTGCAGGTCATACGAAGGCAAAATCGAAGGCCTTACAGATGAGTTCGAGGAGCTGGAATTCTTAAGTACAATCAACGTAGGCTTAACCTCAGTTGCAAACTTACCAAAGTTAAACAAACTTAAGAAGGTAAATAAAGTGCCCTGTCTCTCCCTCTTTGCGATATGCTGCATGTAAATTAGTCATTTGCCTAACTTAATTAATGACTGACTTCATGATGCATGCTTGCACTAAAAACTCAAGATGTTGATGTGCCTTTCAGCTCGAGCTAAGTGACAACAGAATCTCAGGAGGACTGGAAGTGTTGGCAGAAAAGTGTCCAAACCTCACGCATCTAAATCTAAGTGGCAACAAAATAAAAGATCTCGGTACAATAGAACCTCTGGTAAGTCGGTGCGGCGCGGGGCGAAATAAAAACTTCATTTTTTTGATGAGAAGGGGCGATGTGATGGCTTGGTGGGGATGGTATTTTGGGTTTTGAAATGCCAAATGAGCTTGCAACTGAATGTATCCAGCCCTGGTGCTTATCTCATGGGGCTGACACCCATCCCGTGGGGCTGACACCCATCCCGTGGGGCTGACACCCATCCGAGGGTGCAGCATCCCGGTGGGGACCACGAGCTGCTGCTTCCCTCTAGCGGCTAGCCCTCTGCCAGGAGCAGCCCCGGGACCTGTCCTGGCCCCAGGCAAAGTGGGGACAGCCCCCCAGGCTGCTTGCACCCAGCAGTGCCTTTGGGAAGAGCAGCAGCTTTGCACCACGATAACTCAAGGGGAGGGAATGACCAAGAGTTGGCTCTTGGCGGCTGGCTCGTGTTGTGGGTCTGTCTCCCATAGCCAGGGTCCCTGCTTGGACTGGATGCACCATCCCTGAAATATTCAGCCTAAAATAAGCAGCACCACTTCTGTTTGGGGTGTGTGGGTGTTGGTAGGACCAGCTGCAGCACCGTGCTCAGCCTGCTGGTCCCAGCAGGGCAGCGGTCGCCAAGCCTCCAGCTCCTTCCTGCAGCTTCCCACCGCCTCTCCTGCTCTCTGCCATCACTCTCCATTGCTTTACAATGCCATTATTCTCCTTATTTCAAGTGCACGGGTCAGGATTATCAGGCTGGCGTTCCAAAAACCTTCAACTGTCAGTCCTAGGAGTGCTTCTTAGCGCTACTTCCTAATTTTTGGTTTGCGTGTCCTTGATTTTCTAGGAACAAAGAGTTTCGGCTCATGCCTACTTCCCAAATACTTGCTCCTAAGTGTCTCAAGGAGCAGTTTTCAATGAGCCCGTCTTGGCTCGCCTTTCCTCCAGCAGAAGGGGAAAGTAGGGCTGTTAAACTGAGCGAGAGGATTGTAACTGCTCCCACTTCCAGACTTATTTTCTTGACATCACCATTGCTCTGCGTGCTAAACTCCAGAAGGGAGAGAGTTCATAAGACCCGAGTCAAATCCTTAACCCCGCTGCTCATGCTTTTATTGGAAGTGCAGCTGGCAATGCAGCCCACTTCCTCCAAAAAATAAATGAATTAATTAAATATTTTTAAAATATTTATATCGAATATATTAGAATTTGTTTATTAAAAATTAATGAATTAAATATTTTCCCCTATTCTAAGCCTCTTTTTCATCTAGAATGAGAGGTACCATCATCAAACAACTTTAGAATTTCTTCTAGTAAAAAATCTTGTGTCTAAAGTATGATCTGTTTCTTTTTCCACTGAAAACAGCACTCTGTATGCATCTGACCCCAATATTTTGCCTTGCCCTTTGGGGTAACTCCCTGGACTGCTATTCATTAGCTCGGTCCCCCACAGTACATATGATATTGTGCCATTGCCTCTTTCCAAACCTCAGTCTTCCACGTGCAAGATGCTGAATTTTAGAACATTTCCCACTCAGACAGCACAGAAGCAGTGCAGATTTCTGTCCCACCCCAATTTAGGAGGCAGAGAGCGAAACGACCCCTTTTATCCTGGAAGCTCTTGAACACCTTAACTCCGTCGAATTGTCTGTTTTTTGGAGGTTTATCACGACGCTGGGCCTCAGAGGCTTTTCTTCCCTTGCAGAAAAAGTTAGAAAACCTGAAGAGTTTAGACCTTTTCAATTGCGAGGTAACCAACTTGAACGATTATAGAGAAAACGTATTCAAGCTCCTCCCGCAACTCACATACCTCGATGGCTATGACCGGGACGACAAAGAAGCGCCGGACTCTGACGCAGAGGGCTACGTGGAGGGCCTAGACGACGAGGAGGAGGATGAAGATGGTATGTGGCTTGTGCTGCTTGGGGTGCGTAAGTTAACGGAGCGATATGCTGCCTGGTGCATTTTGCTTCCAGCTCTGACTTGTTGGCAAGAGAAGGGTGTTCTCAGCAGCTCCTGATGGTGTAAAGGAGGCGTACCTCAGTGTCCTCTGAAGGAACGAGGGGAAAGGAGAGGGGCAGGGCCTGAAAGAACTACTTTCTCAGTCTTATCTCTAGTGAAAGATCGGGACGACAAAGAAGCGCCGGACTCTGACGCAGAGGGCTACGTGGAGGGCCTAGACGACGAGGAGGAGGATGAAGACGGTACGTGGCTTGTGCTGCTTGGCGTGAGGAAGTGGAAGGACTGACAGGCCGCGTTTCGTGTCCAGCTCTGGCTTGGTGTTGCCTTCAGCAGCTCCTTCCTGATCATTGTAAAGGAGAAATAGCTCCGTGTCCTCTGGGGGAACGAGGGGAAAGGAGAGGGGCAGGGCTTGAGAGAGCTTCTCAGTCTTATTTCTAGGTGGAGAGAAAGGCTGGTAGGAGACAGGGGCCAGGAGGAGGAGTAAAACGAGTAGAGAGATGCTAGAAATGTTCAGGGAACGGTAAACACCAGGGGATGGCTACAAAAGGGAGAAATGGGGAAGAGAAGGTGAGGTGATGCTGCAGTTTTCCAGGAGCCACACGATCAGGGAAGCCACGTGTGGTTGTGTAGACCCTGATGGAGAAGGGCAGAGTGGGCATAGGACAAGGTGGTTGAGCCAAGGAATGGAGCAGAGGAGCCAAGGCAATACCAGGAGGGGATAGCTTATCCACGAAGAGAAAGGGAACTGGTTGGGATCAAGTGGAGGAGAGGACAGGGTAAGTGCTGAAGTTTTCCTGGGGCAGGCTCTGTGAAAGGCAGCAATGAACTTTTTAATGCTAGGAAGGTGAACTCTGCGTCCCACTGCGTGTAGGTGCTGTTCTGCCTCCATGGCAGGCTGCACCCAGAGGCATCCGTGTGCTGGCTGGCTGGGTGTCAGGCTGGGTTTGGGGAATTTGCTGGACTCTTCAAACCCAGCTGCGCAGCAAAAGCAGAATAGCTGGGCTTGCACTTTTCCCTCGAGTGCTGAATGCGAGCCCTGGTGACAGGGGCGAGCGCCGCAGTGGTGCCAGGCAGAGGGGTGCTGCCATCCAGCAGCGCAGGAATTCGGCAGGGACAGGTTCTCTTCCTCAGAGCACAAGGCTGAGCCTGTGTTGAAATGCATGAAAAAGCTCCAAAACGCCATTCCCGCAGCATGGAAAACGTTCCTGGTTTGTTGCTTGGGCTAGTTGCATTGAAGCACTTTTCCTCTTGATTGCAAACTCGTGGTGGATCGTGTGTGACCCCTCTGCATTGCTCTGGTAGCATAAAATGCAAGGAGCATCCCCCGGGGAGGGCTCCCAGTGCATGGCTGGCTTGTGAAGTCGTGCCCAGTCTCTGCTGGGAGCAGGTGGACGCTTGCAGACGAAGAGCTGCAAGGGTCCCACGGGCTCTAAAACGCACATCAGCAGGGGGAACTGGAGCGGCTGAGGCAGTCCTGAGGCTGCTGTGATTTCTGTCAGGGCCCTGGAGCAGCTCTGAGCATGGGCACAGCTGCCACATCGCCCTGCCACTTGACTGAAGAGGCACAGGACTTTGTCCAGCCCTGCCTGGCAGCTGGAGAGCTGCTTTTAATTCTGCATCACCTCGAAGCAATGCTCTCAGTTCGCTCCTGGTGTTGGTTGCAGCTTCTGTGTCAGATGGCAACGTTGGGAAAAAAAAAATAACCTTTAAATATCTGAGTGGTTAATCTCGTTTGTGTAGAAGAGGAGTATGATGATGACGCTCAGGTAGTAGAAGACGAAGAAGATGAGGAAGAGGAGGAGGAAGGAGAAGAGGAGGACGTAAGCGGAGAAGAGGAGGTAAGGATTTCGTGCAGCTCATAACGGGCGTGGAATGAACACAAACAGGGAATAGTTGGGCAAGAAACGGATCAAAAACCAGAGGGTTTTGGTACGGGGTGCACGTGCTTGCTTTTTTAACCTGAGAAGCGTCACTGGGGGTGGCTTTGAGGAGCGCCTGTATGAGCCAGCTGCCATCTAGTGACCGCTGACATGAAATCATCCTGCTGCCTGGGCTGCTGTCAGTACAGAATTCGTGGCGTGGTTCAGCTGCTGTGTGTGAGCCGGTCACATTCTGCCTCAATTAGCAGAACCACTGGGAACGGGGCTAAAATATCTGCTTGAAGGCCAACTGCTTAGAACCGGGAGCTTCTTGCACCTCTCCTCACCCCAAAACACGTGCCTGCTCCCACTGAGCTCACCCGCAGCAATCACCGCGTTTCGCTAAGCTCAGGGCGTCGTAACAAAATCTGCAGCTTCATGGCAGCCGAAGCACGAAGCCATTTACTTGCTGAGGAGCTGAAGCTAGAAGCGGCTGCTACAGCTTTCTGCAGTGAAACATGGGCCAGAGTCCAGTTATGCTGCTGCAAAAAACTCCAGCAACTACACTTATATAAGTGTGTGGGAAGTGTCTGCCTTCTTGTTTGCTTTTTGTTTAAGATGCTTCAAGGACTTTTTCTCTCCGTTGTAAAATGCTGTTGGATATTGCCAAATTGTGGAAGGCTCTGAGCTGAAACCAACTTTTTAAATATATATTTTTATTTTTTTTTTAAATCCAGGAGGATGAAGAAGGCTATAACGATGGTGAGGTAGATGATGACGAAGATGAAGAAGAGCCCGGTATGGCAGTAATCTATTTTTTCCTAGAAATTAAATATATATATGTATATATGTATATATAAAAAGCAGGCTCATGTTTTTATTCCTGCTCCTTTGATAGCCAGCCAGTTGCCAAAGTAGAAGCTTGTTGAACTTGTTCAGCTTCTCAGCAACATGTGGGAGCACCCGTATAACTCGAGTTGTGTTTTATTTTTCAGATGAAGAGCGGGGACAGAAGAGAAAACGAGAACCTGAAGACGAAGGGGATGAAGATGACTAAACTGAATAACCTATTTTGAAAATTTCCTATTGTGATTTGACTGTTTTTACCCTGTATTTCCCCTCCCCACACCCCCAACCTTTTTTTTCTTTTTTTTTTTTTTTTTTTTTTTCTGATTGTAATGTTGCTGTGGGAACGAGAGGGAGAAGCAGACTGGGTGGGCAAGGGAATAAAATACTATTTTTACTGCCACTCCTCCTCCTATTCATTTTAAATTTTTTCTTTTTGTCCCTCTCTTAGTCCCTGTAACTGCAATAGTAAGTATAAACCAAGTGGTAATTTGTTTCTTATTATTGGAGTGGATAGTTTGACATCTTTCAAAAAGAGGAAAAAAAAGTTAAGATCAGTGGATGATACCCCAAATACACATATTCTGTTCTGAGACAGCCGAATATCCTTGGTTGTTGGGATTTTCCACCGCTGCCAGTCACTAAATACGTTGTAAGCATTTTTGGGGGATGCTTCAAATCTAGGCAAAGCGTCCCTCCACAGCAACAGGTGTGAGAATGGCATATTGATAAAGTGATTTCTTTGTTGCCTGTCCGTGAATGACTGCCATTTTCAGCCAATGCTGTCCCTGCTTTTGTAGGTACCTTTTCTTTTGCTGTTTGTAAATAGTGACCAAATGTTTTTTTTTGTTGTTGTTGTTTTTGTTTTTTTTTTCTCTTTTTTTTTGTTTTGTTTTTGGGGTGTTCCTTTGGATCTGGTTTGTGGGGTGAATTTGCAATCCCCTCCTTCCCCGTGTGTTGTGTTTTTTCCTTTCTGTTCGTTTTGTTGCCTTTTTTTTCTTTTTTTTTTTGGCTAGGGTATAGCCAACACACTGAAAATGGCAGGCATTTAAATATATATATAAATATATATAAAAAGTGTTCCTAATTCCTGAGTTACTAGTGAAATGAATTTGACAATTGTAATAAAAAAATGTTTCAACCCTTTTAAATAAGGTGTGTACTATTTTGGTCTGTAATATATAACACCTAGTCAATTTTAAGTGATGAGAAACTACTTCCACTTGTGCTATATACTTTGAAAATTTTTACAAACCTAAATACAGGAGGCAGTTCAGCATGTAGGGTAGGAGGTTTCTTTTCATACACTCAAGCACGAGATACTAATACAAAATTGTATTTTCTTACCTAGTGGAAGTCAGTAAAATGACTGAAAATACCTAGTGAATGTACAGTTTTACTTTCATATCCCTCTTTAAAATAGCTTTAGAAGTGACTTGTATTTCCTAGTTAATATTTCATCTGTATAAATACATTTGCAACAGTTTTTTTTTTTTTTTCCCAGAAGAGCCAAACTTTGAGTTTTATGTCTGTTTGTCATTGATGAATTTCAATAAATCTTTTTATACAATTTTTTCTGTGGCTTATTTGAGTCAAATGGGCCACGGGGAATGAACTGCTTAGCTTTTTCAGGAGGCATTCAGTAAGTTACCCTGGTAAATTCCCCGATATTTTTAGTAGCTTGATCATACGTTTTGCTCTGCACAACTACCCTCAGCCACGGTTGGGTGAAACCAAGGGAGAGGTTCCGAATTTAATGTAAATAACTGCGTGCCATTTTTCTTCCAGAAGGAGCGTTTTTTTCCTGCGTTGCCACCCTGAATATTACACTTGGCGTGTTCCCTTCTGCTGCCTGTTTAATCCTGTCCCTGTTTACCCAGGCCCAGAAGAAAACCCTTGATTTCGGGCGAGATCCCACGGTTCCTGCGAGCCCCGGGGCGCTGTGGCTGGGACCTGGGCTTCATCACCCGCCACCATCCGGGGCAGTTGCTGCCAGGTCTAAGCTAAGTCTGAACGTTTTCCTCTTGCCGATGAGCAGCGTTTTAGGGGTGAGGGGTGTAGTGGGCATTAAAGCCCTGCCGCGGTGCCGTGCCGGAGAGTGAGACGCTTCGGAAGGTCGCGTACTGCTCCTCCGTCCTTGCATCCCTTCACAAAGATCTGTCCTTTTATAGGTGTGCTGCTGGTTTGTGGGTTGCTTTGATTTTTTTTATTATTATTATTATTATTTATTTATTTATTTATTTTATTTTATTTTATTTATTTATTTTATTTATTTATTTATTTTGAGAACCAGGCAAACTGGTGCTCCCTCCCCAGCCGGGGGTCCGCTGCTGCGAAACCCAGCCCTGAAACGAAACGGGCAGGGCGACGTCGGGCTCCTACAGCACAAATAGCAGCACAGAGCCAAGCCCAGGAGCCACAACCCAAAAAAAAAAAAGTCCTTGGGTCACGCTAAACCAGCTTAGACTCAGCTGGCCCCGGGGCTCCAGCAAGCCACCGCTGGCTTATCTTGGAAGCATTCAGAAACCCTTCAGCTCTTCATTTTTGTAAGCACAAATGGCCCAGGTGTCACTGAAGTGACACTTCTGATCCCACCACATCAGGGTCCCGTTCCCTGTTCAGCCCTCCCAAAAACCCACATCGATCCTGGGGGATCTCAAGGGGGAGGCCAGGAGCTGGAGGCCAGCAGGGCTGGGTACGGGGAGGGGGCAGCCATCAGGCTTCATGGAAAACAAAAAGGAGGTTTGCCCAACGTGGATAACTTCACATTTTTTTTCTGAAGTGCCCAATTGTCACGCTTCAACCCCAGGGCTTGCTTCCCCAGTGCTGTGTCTGCGTGTGAATGCTGGATAAAGATATTTACCAGCTTACAGCCTCCTCTTGGAAAAAAAAACAAACAAACAAAAAAAAAAAAAACCCAAAAACTCACAGCCCTGCATACATGTAATATGAATCTTGCTTTACCTGGAGCACCTTAGGGGCTGCGGGAAGCCTTAAGGCAACGTGGAGCCCTCCCTTGGTTCCTATTTCAGACATCTCAAGACTTTGCTTCTGGGGTGTTTTACTTTGCCTTGCTGTCCTCAACCTGCTGTAAAGCTCAAACTGCCTAAAACACGCTGCTGGGGCTGTGGGAATGACCCTGCTTTTCAGACTCAGCTTTCCAAAATACGCATTTTTGCATCTGTTGGTGAAGCCAGCGGGCAGCGTGTGGAGCCACGGCTCTGAGGATTGATGCTCTGCTCAGTACGAGGCATTTCTGCCCCGTTCCCTGGGGCTGTGTAGTGCCTGCGAGGATGCGTGCCAGGCAGGGAGGAGATGCTCAGGGAGGAGATGCTCGGGAGGAGAAGCTCAGGGAGGAGATGCTCAGGAGGAGATGCTCGGGGAGGAGATGCTCGGGAGGAGATGCTCAGGGAGGAGAAGCTCTTGCTCACGCTTGCAATGCGCCCAGCTGACCGATGGGGACTGCGATCCCTGTGCTGCCTTAATAACGTAATGGCCTGGTGGTTTGCATTGCTGGCACTCGAGGACAGCTTCTCCTTGCTTGATTTGATCGTGCTGCTCGTACCTGAGCTTCTTGCCGAGCTCCAAGGCAGAGCACAGGCTTCAGGTGAAGGTCAGGAAGGGTCCCCAAGGCCACAGAGCCGCAGCGTTACCCAGCTGGGCAGGAGGAGGGTGGCTGCAGGTGCTGACTCTGCTGCAGCCCCCACCCCCAGGAGTTTAAATATTTTTTCTTTCAGCCTTAAGACCTCGTGGCAGCGAGGGGAAGGGTTCATCCCACTGCCCACAGCAGGGCTGCTTGTCCACATTTAGCATTCCAGGTCACTTTTAATGGAAATTTTGGATAAACGCAGAGGGACATCCCCTGTTCTGGAGCCAGATGTGCCATGACAATCCTGGCCCAAAGTGGATTCCTAAAGCAGCGAGTCCATAGCCCTACCCTGCGCTGTGATGTAGGGTAGGAAGCATTAAATCCCCCCCCCGGCTCTCTGCAGGACGGCGCCTGCTCTGACCAAGCATCTCGTAGGGTTTCCTTTCAAGATGCCTTACGTCTCAGAATGAATCATCCCGCGCTGAAATTTAGGAGTCTCATGACTGCAGGCCTTCACGGTGGGAAGAAATTCAGCCCTGGGAAGGAGACGCTGTGGGTTTCCAGTCCGCAACGTGAAGGGAAGAAATGTCCTAAAGATAACTTAAAATCTGAGACTTCAACCCGAACACCCTCCCTTGTGAGCAAACCACCTGCCTTGACTTCAAACGCCTTCCTGGAGCACCTTTGCTACAGCTGCTGATTCACTCTGGTATTTTCCAGCTGTTCAGAAGCTCGGTGCTGCAGGGCGATAGCGCAGGGCATGGATGGGGTGTTGCCACGGCTGAGCCCTTGGGGTGTTTGAAAGCCTCCTTCCAGGAAAGGATGGGAAAATCACATTCTGGAGCTTTCCTTTTGGGGCAAAATTTGAAAACCACATTTTTTTTTTTGCGGTGAGAAAGTCGAGTTCCCAAGGGGGGGGTTCCCCAAGGACACAGCGGAGCTGCTGAACCCAGCAGGGCCAGGCTCTGGGAAACTCCATTTAAATAAAAAAAAAAAAAAAAAAAAAAAAGCAAAAAAACAAAGAAGCACAGTGGCTTCTTCTCTAAATTTGCTTAATTTTAGCTTTCCAAAAGCAGATCTTATATTGTCGATAAATTAACGGGGGGGTTAATCTCCAGACATCCCTTCTGGTAGGCGCTCAGAAGATGCTGGGAACCGGTAACGCCGGGGACGGGCAGCACCAGGAGGCCAAGCTAAAAGGGTTCGCCTCGAGCAGAGCCAGCCCTCCAGGAAGCAGAAAGTAGGTCAGGGTGATAAGGATGAGCACGGAGGGATGGTGTTCACGGGGAGGGGGAAAACAGAGCAGGAGGGAACCCGTCCCATGGATGCACGGGGAAGGGGCTGTCTGCTGTGGACAGCCGAGGTCTCGAATCCTTCCCCCTTAAAACCTGCTGCCCCTAACGATGTCGGATCAAGAGGTAATTGTGGTGAGCAGCGTATGGGAAGGGGGAGACCTCAGCCTGGATCTCGGAGGGGACGGGATGGAGAATCCTAGGGGTATGTAGGATATTTGGGCATTGCTGTGGTTCTCCGAGGGGTCCTGGAGGTGCTCTGCAGCCCGGGGAGCACTGCAGGCTGGGTGAGCGTCTGCTGGCCTTTAGCACCCTGTAATGCTTGTTTTTTTCTTCGAGAGGAATGGAAAAGAAAAGCCGGGAGGTTACAGACTCGTGGGTCTAATTAAAACCCTGGTAAAATGCTGCAAACGACCCAAAAGCATCAGAGCCCCCCGCAGCAGCGCAGGCTCGCCCCGAGCAGCGCTCGGTCCCGTGGCCCCCAGCACACCCCAAGCGGCCCCAAATCACCCCAAAAAGTTGATTTATCAGGTCTTTATGGCGAGGCTGCAGCAGCGCAGGGAATTCAGGGCTAAAATTGGCCGCGTGGAGTGCCCCAAAACGGGCCTGCCGGCTTTAAATAGCGCCCAGATGGCGCAGGGGGAAGCGGCAGGAAAAATCCCGAGCTGTTCCCGGGAGAGCTGGGAAGAAAAGGTGCAGGAGCTCGCCCCACAACCCGCAGCACCGTGGCTTCTTCGGGAGGTTTTGGCAAAGCCTGAGCACAACGGGGACATTTGGGGATGTCCCCACTGTGGCCACCCCCTGCGGGCACCCAGGGGTGCGCAGCCACCGGGGCTGCTGGCAGGGGTTTGGTGGAGCCGAGGGGACAACCTGGGGAGCAGGGGATGGGGACTGGGCACCCACGTCCCCCTCACCTGCAGCACAAGCACAGGGCTCCGGATTTGTGCTGATGCTTGCAGGTATGCTAATGGGCTCATTAATCATCACCGCCCGCAGCTGTAATTGGGCTGGATTCGGGGAGCTTCGGAGACACGCTCGCTCTTCCCTCACGAAGGATAATTTGGGGAAATCAGGCCCAGCACACCGCCTCTGAATAAGGCCGCGGCCATAAATAACCCCAAGCAGGACCAGGACGTGTGGCTGAGCTCCGGGAGCAGGAGGGGCTTTGGGCAGTAACGAAGCAGCCGAGACGCTAATAATCCTCAAATGGAGTTAATTTCCTAGGGACGCGCCTCCTTCTAAATATGAGGAGTGACAAAAGCAGGAAATTTAATTCCTGTCACCAAATTATAACACATTTCTCAACACCAGGAAAAAATAAATAAAAAAATAAATTAAATTAAATTAAAATTAAATTAAAACGAATAAAATAAAATAAAATAAAAATTAAATGTAATAAAATAAAGCTTAAAACTCTCTTTTCAATCAAACATTTTTACCACTGAGACGTCTGGGGTTGGTACAAGGCCAGGGGAAGGGGTACATGGGGAAGCACGGCCCCGGTGGTGCAGCATCCCTGCGCTGCCCTCTTGCTCGCACGTGCAAGGAGCCCAGGGGAGCCAGGCAATCTGGGACCACTGTTTGGGGCATTCTACTTGCAAATCTGGGGCTGGTCCCAAAAACACTGCCCCAGCCGGGGGAGAGCTGCGGTGCCGGTAAAGAGCAGCCTCACGCAGACCCAAAAATGCCCTTTGGGGCCCTCCAGGGCGCCCAAAGCTTTTGGTGGTTTAAAATTTGAAGAAAGAAAAGACAAGCGAGGGTTTGGTATCTTGAAAACCTTTTATTTTGTCACTATTCCGTAGTAGCATAAATAATAGGCAATGACAGCACATGTAACGGAGAGACGGGGAAGCGTCGGGTACGGGGCACAAGGGGACGAACAGGGAGGAGAAACCATCACACAGTGCTGGGCAGCTCAGCCACTGGACTCAGTGAAAAGAGAGAGAAAAACGAGCAGAATTTGGTTCTTTCCCTGTGCTAGAGGCCTGGTTCACAACCACGGTGACTGTACACGTGTGCTGCGCCCATCGAGCCCCTCCCCGGGGCACTGGCACGAGTCCCGTCTTGGGGGAAAGGAGGAGGTGAAGTCCCGCTTTGCAGAGGGCTAAGGAGCAAAAAATCCCTCTCTGTCTAGGAAACCCAGCCTCTGTTTTCTTTTTTTATTATTATTTTCTCTCCTTTTTTTTACTTTTCTTTTTTTTTAATTTTTTTTTTTATCTTTTTTTTTCTTGTATCTTTTTTTTATTATTATTATCTTTTTTTTTAATCTTTTTTTTTCTTTTATCTTTTTTTTCTTTTCTCCTTTATTTTTTTAAATCTTTTTTTTTTCCTTTCTCCTTTTTTTTTATTTCCTTTTTTTTTAAAGTTTTACAGGCTCCAGAGGCGAGGTCCGCGTGCAGCCGGGCGGGTGCGCAGCCGAGAGCTATGGACACAACCCTGCCCACCCCACACCACCCCACAGACCCCATCCCAGCCCTACAGCAACGGGCATCACTGTCACACCTTGCATAGGAGAAAATCAACGGCGAGGCACCGGGGGCGCTTTCCTAGGGTCCCTCGTGCTCAGCCCAGCCCCGACGAAGCCGACGCTGCTCGCCTACCGACTCCGAGAAGCGATGGGGTGCAAGCACTGCCCAGCTTCCCTTCATGCAGTGGCCACTCAGAGCGTGGAGGCCGTTTTTTAGCGCTAGACGAGGCTACGAGGACGTTTTTTCCAGTTAGCATCTGGGCTCTTGGCAGGTCGCTCGGCTTCTGGCTCATATTCTGTGTAAGTGGAGACGATAAAATTAAAGAGCGAGTATAAACGAAGAAAGTTTATTTATAAAACGTCCCTGGAAGTTAATTATTCTTCGGGCTGTTGCGTAAGTTTTTCAGTTCCAGCTGTAGCTGGCGGATGCGGATGTCTTTCTGCGAGAGCTCGTCCTTCAGCCGCCGGATCTCGTCCTGCTGCCGGAAGAACATCCGAAGGAGCTGGAAGGAGAAAGGGGCAGGAGCTGGAGGGACGGAGCCGGCTCCGTGCCCCCGCGGCAGCATCCGAGGTGCCGCGGAGGAATTTTCCCCTCCCAGCTCGGTGAGAGCCAGCACAGGAGGTTTGCAGGCACGAGAAGAGCGGAGCCCTCCGGGGATGCGCCCAGCCGTGCGCCCCCAGCTCCTCCCCGTGTTTTTTCCAGGGGAGGATTTCGGGAAAAGCTTTCAGGAGCGTAACGCCGCTCTGCCAGGCACCGTGCTGCAACGGGGGTAAAATGCTCAAAATGGGGGTAAAAATGGGGGAAACCCCAAACCCAACCATCCCTGTGGCTGGGCTGGATGGGGCCGCGCGGCGCTGCCCTACCTCGTTCTCGGTGCGGGGCGGCACGTTCTCCAGCAGGTCGATGCCGTTCACCACAACGCCCTTCTTCTCCCTCACCGGCGCCTTAAAGACGATTTTGGATGTCCTCTTGTAGCCCTCCTTCAGCGACATCAGGATGGGATCTGGGGGGCAGAGCGGGGGTGAGCAGGGGCCGCTTTTGGGGCTCCCCCCTAGGATGATCACCCGCAACCCTGGCGCATCCCCACGCAGAGACCCCCACGGACACCCCCGGCACCTTTAGGGTTTTACCTCTGTTCACCCCGCTCAGCCACTCGTCCGGTGTCAGGGCCGGCTCCGTGCCCGGGGTCATGGGGTAGATGTCCTCTTGGTACGTCTCCGACTACAGACACGGGGAAATAAAAGCAGCAGCCTCCATAAACCTGCTCCCAAACCCATCCAAAGTGCTATGAGCAGCGGCTCCCTCCCTCAGCATGCAGGCACGCAGCCGCACAGCCTGGTTACAAATAATATCAGGTGTTTACCCCATTAATTCAAATCAGAAATAAAGCCTCCGAGTGATGCCCGTTTAGCTCACGCTTTGCAAGAAAATGATACGAGGGCTGCACGGGGCCATACGGGACCTTCAAGGCCTTGGGGAGAAGCTGCACCAATTTTGGGCACCCCGGGGTGCTGCTCAGCCCCAGCCGTGTCCTCACACCCCCCCCGCACGCTCCCCGGGGACTCACCCTCCTTGGCACGATCATGGAGATGGGCTCGATGAGCCCCTTGAGGGTGACGAGCTTGTAGAAGCGGAAGACCTCGCAGGCCGACACGTCCAGCCCGTGCTTTGGCATCACCCCTGTGGACGAGGCGTGGAAGATGACCCCCCCTGGGCAAAACCCCCCAAGTGCTGCAAACGCTGGGACCTGGCCAGCTCCACGGCGTGCAGGACCCCAAAAGTCACGGTTCTTCATCAAAAGTCCCAAACCCCTCACCAAAGACACCCTAAAGGGCTTGGGGTGCAGGCAGGGCCACACCGGGGTCATTTGGAGGGGGAAATGGGAAAGGGACGAGCACCAAAAGGGGGGAAAAATCCCACTAAATCGGCAGCTGAGGTCACAATTACCTACACCGTTTAATTAGGCACTTTCTGCCAAGCCACCTTTGGCACGTTCGGGTTCGGCAGCGGGGGGCGAGCGGCGCGGCAATCCTTACCCAGTCCTTTCTGCGGGGCCGGGGAGCGAAACTCCATGAGATAGCTCAGGTAGGGCTTCTCCGAGCCGATCTCGTAGTACCGAATGTTGCCGTCACCCTGGAGCGAGCGCGGGAGGAGGGCAGGGTTAGGGTTTGGTTGGGGATGGGGACGGACAAAGACCCCGATAGCAGCCCCCGGACCCCGGCCTCGCCGGGCGCACCTTGCCAGCCAGGTACAGCATGTGGGTGTCCGCGTCGTAGAAGGGGAAGAGCAGCCCCGAGAGCCCGTCGATCTCCTCCTCGATGAGGGGCATGGCCAGATCCTCCTGAGCAAGGGGAAAATCCCAATTAACAGCCTGGCAATGAAGGTGTCCGGGGACAAACCCAGCGCCTTGCCCCTCGGCACCATGGCAGGAGATGTCCCGGTCCCCAGCTTGGGGGTCTCCAATGAGGCTTTGTCATGGATGGGGCCCTCACAGCCCCTCAGTATGGGATTTTTGGGGTTTAAACACCCCAAAGGGCTGGAGGATGCGGGGCTGGGATGGGGCCTGGCACCAACCTGGTCCCACAGGGCGATCTGCCGCGTGTTCCAGCGCGAGACCCCGGTGGTGAGCAGCCGCTTCGTGCTGCCCAGGAACACCACGCGGTTGACTCGGTGGTTCTTGCAGCTGGCTTCCTGCAGGACAGGGCAGGACAGGGGTCAGACATCCCCAAGAAACCACCGTTTTCCCCTAAACAACCCATTTTCTCCCCCTTGATTTCCATCGCATCCCACCACGTGGCGCTGCGAGCACCCCGTGGATGTCACCGTGTCTCGGTGGGGTTCCTCCCCGTGCCCCCATCCCCAAACCCTCCCCGGTGACCCCGCACCTGCAGCACCCTGCCGGAGCGCGGCTCCACCACCCGCAGCTTCTTGTCCTTGCAGGTGGTGGCCAGCAGGCTGCCGTCCGTGTTGAAGGACATGCAGAGGATGACGTCCGTGTGGCAGTCGATCATCTTGACGGGCTCCCCGATGTCCAGGTTCCAGATGAGGACCTGCAAGGAGGGGGGACAAGGCTGCATTTTGGCCACCCTAAGATCTATTTTGGAGCTGAAACCACTCGCTCAGCCCCTCCAGAGCTCCTCGCCCACCCTTCTGGGGCTGCTGCTTGTGCCAAACCCACCCAGCCCCAGCCAGCGGGCACCAAGCACCGTGCGCACGGGCACTTGGGCCACCACCAAGGGGGGATTTCGGACACCGGGGTCCATCCCTGGCTGCTCACAGGTGCTTCCCACTGGTGCCACGGCATCCTACGTGGTCTGGGGCTCACCTTATAGTCGTAGCCTGCGCTGAAGAGGATGTTGTTGGTGGTGGGGTGCCACTCCACCAGGCCGACGCGCCGGCTGTGCCCGTACAGCTCCAGGACAGCCTCTGTCATGTTCCTCTTCAGGCCGCCCTCGGGGATCTCCCATATCCGCACCTGCAGGATGGGGTGCGTGTATGGGGGGCTTTGGAGACCCCCCCGCGGTCCCCGTCCCCCACCCAGAGGCACATCAGAGGTTTTCAAACAGGGAAACACCGGCTGGTTACAAACTGGGTGTCAGGGAAGGGATAAAACCGGGTGCATTTTGCCCCAAAATGCCCCTTTCTGCAGGGAGACGTGTGCCGCAAAAATGGCACCGCGCTGCAGCCCCCAGCATTTCAGCAGCACCACAGAGGGAACCGGGGGCTGGAGGCTCCGCCATGCTGCTAATTGTCCCCTGGTAATTAATTAACGAGCCTTGTCCCCATGGGGGAGCCGTTACCAAGCAGGGACCTCGAGGTATTTGTGGACGGGGGGGGTTGACAGCGTGCCCATCGCAGCACCCCAGGCGTGGGGTGGCATCAGGAGCGGGGAGCCCATGGGGACCGTCCCCTGCAGCACATCCCAGCAGGGGACAGCCCCAGGGACAATTAATTTGATTTCCCAGGTTAATGACACAGCATTGATGGCTCAGGAGGCCTTCCCAGCACCTCCTCTTCCCCCACAGCTCTGCGTAGATGTAATCAAAGGTGGGAGAAAGCTCTCTGTGATTCATGGCCACGCTCTGATTTTTTTTCCCCCACTCAAAATCTTCCTCGACAGGCTTTGGGCTAAGAAAAAACGCTGATACACTGAGCTGAAGGGGACACCTGAGAGGTTTTTGCCTGGTTTTTGCACGATTTGCCCATTTCTCTGTGCCCAGGACGCGCGGAGCCAGCCCCAGGTGTCCCCGCTCACCGAGGTGTCCTCGGAGCAGGACGCGATGATGTTCTCGATGAAGGGGTTCCACTTGATGTCCAGCACATTGCCCTGGTGGCCGCACACTTTGGGGTAGTTTGGCTCGATCCGGCCTGTCTGTAATTCAAAATAAAACGTGTGTAATTTAGCGATAAAGGCGATCTTTTCAGGCTGGAGCTGTTCATCCAAGGAGGGATTTTCCCTCGGCGTGGCTCAGCTGAACCCTGCAGGAGAAGAGGTTTTTGCAAACAGGGCAGCTCCACGTGAGCCCCCATGCATCTGCGGGGGGAGACAGCACTGAGCGGGGATTTTAGGAAGAAATCTCTGTATGACCACCCAAAAAGACAGGAAAAAAGGGCTGGAAGAGACTCGAGAGGCACCAAACCCATCCCTGGGAGCATCAGCCATTAGGTGAATTAGGAATTATTGGGTACTTTCCTCCTGAACGTCACAGGCAATGTTGAATAAGGCTCCACTTAACAAATCCCCCGTGACTTTGGGACCACAAAAAAACCCTTGCTTAACGATGCCAATAACGCACCAGCTACCCCAGGCCGTTTGAGGTGATCCTTTCACATGGATGGAAACCCTGGCAAGGCTTTTAGGATGGTCCAGCCTCACCGGCTGGCCAAGGGCAGCGGCAGCAGACAAGGGCACCCGGCACAGCCCGACGCTCAGCATCCTGCTGTACCAGCACAAAAGCTCCTCCTGACGCAGCCAGGACCCCACAACCCCCCCCAGTTTCCTTCCCCTGGTCCTTTCTGCATCCCTGGGTACCCACCAGGAGGGGGTGGCAAGCTTCGGAGCGTGCAAACTAGGTCAGCGCGACACAGCCGCTGAATATTTCATAGCCCTTCCAGCTCTGACCTTTCGGAGTATCGAGCTCCTGGCTTCATTTAACACAAGCAAAGCAGTGTGGGGAGGACACTGAGCTGCACTTTATGTGTCCGCAGCCAAGGGCAATGGCCAGGAGCGCTCTGCGCAGCCGGATCGGGCCCAGCAGCTCGCCCTTGCACCATCGCTGCTGGGAGGATTTATCCGAATTAATTTGCTCCCAGGGAGACGCAGCTTGCTAATTGCACGGTGAAGCGGGGACGGTCGCGGATCCCGGAGCCTGCTTTCCATCAAGCAGTGATGCTGCTTTTGGACGGCTCGCCTGTAGCATGACAGTGCAGAAAACCATCACGCGAGGCACTGGGAAGCACAAGGAGAAGTGGCCCGCGGCCAGCAGGCGCTTCCCCAAATGCCCCCAGAGCAAAACCCAGCCCCGCAGCTTCCCTTGGCACACCCAGAAACGAGCATTTCAGCTGGAAGTGCAAAGCGAACCAGGGAAGAAAAGCTTTGCACAGAGAAATCCCTGCGCTCTGCAGTTTTTGTGTAGGATCCACCCTGCGAAACGCCGGCAGCTCCAGGCGGCCGCACGCTCAGGGATGCGCACCAGGCTGCTGCTGCTGCTGTGCCCGGGGAAATCTCCCCCCCTGGGGGCTGCTTGCCTGGTAAATTGGGGTTATTTGTACAGCGAGGAGCCAGTTCTTGCTCAGATTGATGGAACAGCTCTAAGTCATCCCTCGGACACGGCTCAGGTGTGAGATGAGAACCAGCCCAGCCTTACGGCACCGGGGATGTGGTTGTGTGGGCAGCTCAGTTATTGGGGAAAAGGGAAAAATCAGGTGCCTGCTGCTGTTCCCTTCAATTCTAACACATCCACACATTCTCCATGCCCATGGCAGGATCATCGCACCACTGTCTCTGCCCTTTGGTGAGGTCCCTTCCCAATATCCATCAATCCAGGCTGGGTTAGGGTGGCCCCGTGACGAGCACCTAAGGATGCGCCGCATCCTCCTCCAGGTGCTGAAAGCATCATTTGGGCGTGCTCTGAGCACCTAAATGTTCATAATTCTGCTCTGAGCACCTAAATGTTCATAATTCTGCCTGTCTGCCACAACACAGCAGCGAGAACTGCTCCTCGCCTGGGGAGAGCTGCAGAGCCCTGGGGTCAGCCGCTCCCGTTATCGTGATCTTTGTGTTTTCCCATGGAAAATAAAAATAAAATAATAATAAAAAATAATAAAAATAATAAAAACAATAATAATAATAACAACAATAATAATAATTTATAGTAAATAAAATAAATAATAACAATATAATAATAGAACTCTGCACAGCCAGGGAGGAGCTGTGGAGAGCTCAGTCCTGCGCCCCCAGCCCTGGAGGTGGTGCGCTCAGGGCCTCATCCTGCACATGAGCATCACCTGCAGCAAGGCCCAGCACGTGCAAGCTGCAGGGATGCAGCCCAGGGTCCAGTGTGCCAGGTTGGGAAGGGAAACACCGAGGTGAACCCCAAAGGTGGAGAGGAACACAGCAGCCACCGCGCTGCATTAGTGCCGAGCTCGGCCGCCTGGTCGCAGCCAGCATCCCCCTCCCTCCTGCCACCTCCCGGGAATTAATGGGATGCCAGCACGGCTTTACGGGCTATTATATTAAGTATGACAGCAGCCATCACCTCCCCGAACAGCGCAGATTATCTGGTTTTCCCCCCCCTTTTCCCATTTGCATTAGCACATCACTACACCCTGTCTGGAGCAGGGATGCGCGCAGCAGCTGCCGAATTCCGGGAGGACAGACCTTTTAACTGCACGAGTTAATGGGCAATCACTGTAATTCTGGGCAACCAGCTGAGTAATTTTCTTTGCGAAGTAGATTTGATGTTTTTTGTCAAAATTCATTAGGCTTTCAGGAGGACAAAGCGGGGTTTGGTTACTAGTAGTAGTTTCTATCCAAGAAGCCAGGAGTTCTGATTAAATCAAGCCCGGGGCAGCAGTGGGCTTGTTCCCATGCCCAGGTTCACCTCCGAGAGGAGAAGGAGCCTCAGGCTGAGTGGAAGCAGTGAGAATAGTGGCAAAAAGGAAAGAAAAATTAAAAAAAAAAAAAAAAAAGCAGGGGTTCAGGTCACAGTTTCCCAGGCTGCCATTCCCGGAGGCACCTTGGCAGCAGCGCGGCGAGCTGCAGTGAATCCTAATCCTAAACCAAAACTGGGTCCCTGCCTCGGGCTGCCCGGAGCTCCGTGACCCAAATACCAGCTCCTGAGGGGGACAGACGGGCTTTGCCCCCGGGCTCTGGCATTTTCAGGGCAGGGGCTGGCAGGAGCGATGCCTCCTGCAACCGCAGCTGCCCAGAGCCTGCCCTCGCCCGGCCGCTGCAGCACTTTGGGCAGGAGGGATTGAGAAGGGCTTTGTGCTGTGCCTGCGGGGAGAAGGGGAAATAAAGGGCAGGGAATTGTGCAGGTGGCTTCATTCGGTCACCTTGCTGCGTGACGGGGGTGGCTCAGGTGCACCAGCAGCATGCCGAGCCCCAGGATGGGCAGACACACGGCCCCAGGGCACGGACCACCACCCCTGGGATGGGAAAAGCCTTTCTCCTCCTTCAGGCTTTCCTTGCAAACCCTGTGAATTCTCCAGGCGCTGCTGGGAGTAATTCTGATGCCTGAGTCCAGCCCAGCACAGCCCCAGGGTCCCTTCCAGGTTCTCCTCCTCGCCTCCCCCCGCGGCTCCCCAACCCCCTGCCGGTTGTGCAGGGATCAGGGGAGGGCTGCCCGAGCTGCCCGGGATTTGCAGGGTTTCCTTGGAAATCCTTGAGTGCACACAGGTCTCTAGTGGCCGAGATTATGAGTAAATACATTTGTGGCTGTCTCCTTTAAACGAGGTCTCTCTTCCTCAAGAACCAAAAGAGAAGAAAATCACTCGGATTTGGCTGGCCTAGGGGAGGACCCCGCTGATTTGGGCGCACACTGAGGTCACCGCAGGTGACTCGGTTTTCATTAGGAGCCAATTCCAACTGAACCAGCACAGGAAGGAGAGAAATTGGAGAAATCCTTGGCAGGGACCCAAAAAAGCCATGGCAAGCCATGCAATGCCGGCACCAGACCCGGAGGTTTGGAGAGCTGCAGGCACCGCGTCTGCACGGGGAGTTGTTTGAGCAAGGAGGGGGCAAGATCCTGGGCAGCTCGGCCAGGGGAGGCTGTGCACTGAGAGACGGCAAAAAAATATATATTTTGGGGAAAAACCCCAAAGGAAATTCCCACGTGCAGATGGAAGGAGATGTTCCTGCCTAACAGCTGAATGAAGAGATGCCCCAAGCCTCTCCCCACCGCCCTTCTGCCAGGATGCATGTGGCCAGAGCAAGCAGAGGAGGAAGAGGAGGAGGAGGAGGAGAAAGAGGAGGAGAAGAGGAGAAGAAGGAGGAGGTTGCATGGAGAACATGCACACCACCACCTCCCACCACGCTCAGCAGGCACACGGCTGGAGAGCAGCACCATGCCAATGCAGAGAGCTGTGAGAGAGCCTCCTCCAGCATCCTCCAGCCTTCTCCATCCTCCTCCAGCCTCCTCCATCCTCCTCCAGCATCCTCCAGCCCCCTCCAGTCCCCTCCAGCTTCCGCAGCCCCCAGACTCCAGCGGGCGCTCCCCAGCACTGCACGAGGACCCCGTCTCCTTTACGCACAAGGCAACCGTGCGAGGCAGAGCAGGGAAAGCAACCCACATCGCTGCTTTGCCGGGACAGAGGCTGAAACAGCAGCCGCTCCCCTCGTGCCATATAAATACTCCGGTGGGCTAAAAACATCCGTCTCCTGCCCAGCCACACTGCGGCACAACCGTTATCCGAATTTTGGGTAACAGAAAATCCTCCAGCCACACCAGAGCCGAACACCGGACAGCAGAGCCAGGCGCACGGACAGCGCTTTGCTCCGACGAGGAGCCGCAGCCTGGCTGCAGAGGTATTTATCCGCACCATAAAAGCAGCAGCTGGGATCAAGCTTGTTAATTAAAAAGACAAAAGCCCGCGTAATGCTGCCGTTAAATGGGATTATGGACACTAAAAATAACCCCCCTGCCTGCTGGGAATGGAGAGCCCGGGACTTTTCTCTCCGCTTTAGCCGGCAGAGGGTGCAGGCAGTGCCCGCAGGGCTGCACCGAGCGCCTCCGGCGGGGCCCCCCCTCGCTGCCCCCGGTTTGTGGGGGGCACCTCAAGGCCAGATGGGGCTGCAGGGGGGCAGCACCCGGCCTGACCCCCCCCAACTGCTCCCCGGCACCCTCCTGGGACCTGCTGGGACGTCTGCGCCCCAGGGCAGAGCACGGCGAGGAGGTGACTTTATTCTGTAAACCTCAGGGCTTTTTTTTAATTTATTATTATTATTTTTCCCTGCTCATCTCTTGGTTAAAAGGATTTGTCTCCCGCCATCCAAAATCAGGCACAGAAAAACCCGCAGAAGCATCCCGGGGCGCTACGGGGCCAGGCACCCCACACAGATTTGGGGACCCCCAGTTTTTGGGGCTGCCACACTGTCAGTCCCCACCACCAAGCTAAGTCAATTTGTGCCAGCCCTGGTTAACGAAGGGACGGGCACTAATTGCAGGCAGCTCCTTGCTGCGGGGTTCAGGCTTTGCTCTCCCCCGAGGACTTTGGGGACACGGCGGGGGTGTCCCCATGCCCACCCCATGGGCACAGCGGCTCAGCCCCACATGAGCCCAGCTCCACGAGCAGCTCGGGACGGGCACCAGCGGGTAAACAACGCCTCCTCCTCCTGCCTCTCCCCTTCCTCCCGGCACAGCCAGACGACATTGTCCAGCCCCGGACAATAAGCTGCTTTTTTTACCCCTGCAGAAGCAGAAATCTGCGGCGCCAGGAGCCAGGATTCTGCAGAGGCTGCCCCATGTCCCGCCCCCCGCAGCATCTCCCAGCACGCTGCGTGCCCCCAGCCCTGCCCCGTTAATTTGGGGCTGCCCAAAGCCCCAGCACCCCGACAGCTCCAGGTCCTGGGCAGCCGTGGTCCAGAAACCCAAAGATGCAAAGGCTCCGCTCTGTGACTTGCACAGCACAATTAAGCCCATTCTGTGCCAATCAATCAACCAATTAATAAAGTATTTACAACGTGGACACAGCGCTTCTGTTTTTTCTAGGATATTTTAAAAAACGGGCCAAAACCTGGCTTTCCCATAACCCCACGGCTCCTCTTTGCTCAGCGCCTTTGCCCTCACATTCTCACTCCCAGGGTGCTGCAAAAGGGGGTTTCTTCCCCCAAAACAGAGCCGGGTAGCCCCAGGTTCCTGCTCGGGGACGTCCCAGGCCTCCTGCACGAGGTTTTTCTTCCCAAGGAGCCGGGTTTGGCTCCTGCTGAGCACCCGAAGGCAGGCTCACGGCTGAGGGCCCAGCGCCTCTGATGTGCCGGGGAACATATGGCCCGCCGTATGCAAATGCATTGTCACTCCCCGCACAAAGCAGAGGGGTTTTCTGGGGAAGATTTCTGGCGAGAACAGAGGGCAGAGATGTAGAAAAGGGAAAAAAAAAAAAAGGGAAAAAAAAAAAAAAAAAAAAGGAAAGATGGCAGCAAATCAAACCCTGAGCAGATCCGCGGTATCTAGGTTACCTTAATTACGTTCGGCTAAATATGGATGCCAATTAATTAGATGGCTGCCGATTTCCAAAGAAAATTAGTTTACTCTTAATGAGCTAATCAGTTCCTATTTTAAAAAATAAATAAATAATGAAATGATTAGGTTGTGCCAAGGAGCGTGCAGCCACTTGACACGGAGAGCCAAGGTCTGCTCCGACGGTCCCATGCGAACAGGTTGCGAGCGGCACCGCGCTCCCTCTGCTCCCATCCTGCTGGGATTGCGCTCCGTTTGCCAGGAAAAAATGGTGATTTTCTGGCAATCCTGGGTTAACAGCTCGGGATCTGGGGCCTCGAACAAGCAGAGTGTGCATGGGCGCATTCAGCGCCTGGGGCTCGGTGCCTGCAACGCCGCAGCACGGGGCAGGGGGCAGAGATGCAGGCGGCAGCGCTCCGACGGCTGAGGGAAAGCTCCTTGTTTGCAGAATATTAATAAGAGTCAAGCTGTGCGCTGCAATTAAAACGCTGATTATAATTTCTTCCATCTGTAGCCGGTGCTACTCGAGAAATGAAATAAAAATGCAGAAGAGGCGCGGACTTTAGGTGGGGAGAAGCGGCCGCTCCCGACAGGGCGGCTTCTGCAGGAGCCGGCTGAATTATTTCGGGGGGGTTAAAGCTGCATCAAGGAGAGATGCACAGATCCGTGCGGACACTCCTGCAAAGAGCTGAGGGAAGCTTTCGTGGGGAAGTGAAAGCCCCATGCTGCAGGGGGAAGGAGGACGTGCTGCAAAGAGCACCAAAGTGTGCTGGGTGCCTGTGCGCAGTGCTCCGGGCAGCTTCAGCTGCAAACCGACCCCCAGCACGGCACGGGACGTGGCTCCCAAGCATCAGCTGCTCGTGAGGGGCTGTGACTTGGTGATAAAAATAAATCCTGCTGGGGGTGGCACTGCTGCAGCGCACGGAGCAAACGCCCTGCTAGAAAGGCTTCGGGGACAGTGACGTCCCCGGGGCCAGGCGTTCCCTCGCCGCAGGACAGAGAGCTGATGGAAATGAAAGAGATGGATCGGGTGTGGTTTTGTTCCTCCTTATCTTCCCCTCGTTGGCTCTCTCTGTATCACTGGGACGTCACAAGTGGCATTTCTGGAGCTGCTGCGGATGAGTCAGAGCTGGGACCTGGGCAGTCACAGGCTGTGCCGAGCTGTGCCGAGCTGTGCCGAGCTGAGCTGTGCCAGCTGAGGATGCGGAGCTCATCTGGACCACGATGGGCACAGCCCGGCTTTAAAGGGGCTGGAATGGCGATTTTGCAATGGAAAATTTGGGTGCAGAGCTGTGCAGCACCACATCTGATGGCTGAGCCTACAGGGCCCAGCTCATTTATAGGACAGGGACCTGCGAGGTGCTGGGTAGGATGGGGGTTCCTGGGGACCCCTGGCTTTTTGGAAGCCGTGCTGCTGAAACACAGGGATGGAAAACCTGCGTGGCCTCTGCTGCTGTCAGCCTGCAGGCATGTGCTCATGGAGAGGCCAAAAAGAGGAGAAGCCTTTCAGAACCAGAAAGGATGGGATAGGATGGGATACCGATAGGATAGGGTAGGGTAGGAAATGGAAATGGGTAATGGATAGGGTGGGATGGGATGGGATGGGATGGGATGGGATGGGATGGGATGGGATGGGATGGGATGGGTGGGATGGGATGGGATGGGATGGGGATTAGGATGGATGGGATGGGATGGGATGGGATGGGATGGGATGGGATGGGATGGGATGGGATGGGACGGGATGGGATGGGATGGGATGGGATGGGATGGGATGGATGGGATGGGATAGAACAGAACATTTCCATTTGGAAAATTTGTTGCCCTGCCAAAGATGATGGAGTCCAAACCTTGCATTTTCTTCCTAAAGGAATAAACCCAGCTCCCCCAGGTCATCTTCCCAGCACGAGGACACCACAATAAGGGAGAGCAGAGGGGGCCACACCGCCGCGCAGTGGGGTTCCTGGGGCGCTCCGAGCGGGGTCCGTGCCACTCACCTGCTCGAGCGGGATGACGAGGAAGGAGCCACCACCGGCGCTCTCGGTGACGATGGCGAGGAAGCGGGCGTTGACGGCGCAGAAGTGGTTGTCGTGCACGTTCTTGGTGATGGGGATGCCGTCAAAGCAGTGCTCCCGGCTCGCCACCTTCCCGTAGACGTTGCGGAACTTGGAGCTGCGGTACTGCGGGCGCCATGACATCTGCGGGGCAAACAGCGCGCTCAGCATCCCCCTCGCCCACCACCAGCACGTCCCCCCAGGGGATTTTCCAACCCAAATCTGTTCAGGACAGCACCAACTGCAGGATGGCTCCTGCCCGAGGGAGCGTGGCAGGGCAGATCTGCAAGCACACCACCCCCAAAAAGGCACCAGAGGTGTCCCCGGTGCAAGAGGCAACCCCCAGAAGGCATCGAGAGCCTCGGCGCTGTTGCAAAATTGAAGCTGATGGCCCTTTCAGCGTGCACCGCCCAGCACCGCTACTTCATGCGCATATGACAAAGGAATTAAGGCTTTTAATGCGATGACTTGGAAATGGATTAGTCTGAGCCGCATGAAAGCATGCACCGGTGCAGAATAAGAGCACTCCGACAGGGAGCGGGCAGCAGCTCGTGGCAGCTCTGCGCCCAGCTGGCCCGGCTCCTTTTGCACAGGTCTCCCCTTGCGGCCGGGCACTGCTCACGGGGGCTGCACCAGCCCCTCCTGCTTCCCCCCAGCAAGCCGAGCCCTCTGTGCATGCACAGAGATGAGGGCACTGTTGCTTGTACTGCCTGCTTTGCGTTTTCATCATTTTTTTTGGTCTTTTATTTTTTTTTTTTAACAGTCCTTACGGTAGTGTTCGTGTTCCAGATAAACCTATAAAGACTTAATGCACGTTGAGCGTGCAGAAGAGCAGAAACGTCCGAGCCACCTCAGAGCAACACAAGCACTCAGCTCCGTCCAAACCCTGCTAATTGCCTGCTGGAGGGCTCAGCACAGCTCCTGAGAGCAGCTCTCAGCAAGTTGCACCACCAGGGAAGCATCCCCGCGGGCTGCTCTGATGCCCAGGAACCCAGCAACTCCTCCAAACCCAAGGGCACAGGCTGAGCATCTCCCCGGGAGGAAAGAGGACTGCAAACGGTGCCATTTCCACCCCTGACTCCTACGAGCAGCTTAAATCCTTGAGGATTTAACCCGAAAGGAGAGCCAGACAGACGTTTTTTTGCATGGAAACAATTCTGCTCTGAAAAATGCAGACTCACATCCAACAAAGCGCTGCGAGCCTTTGCCAAACCTACCCGCACGGTCAGAGCGAGGCAGGGCAAGAAAAAGCCCCGACCACATCCCAGGCTGCTCCTTTCAAGAGTCTCACTGCTTTTTGCATTTTCCCTTTGCTGAGCAGATCGCTTTTTATTACGAAATTAACTTATTTACGAAGTTAAAAAAGCACAAAAATATCTTTTCGTATTTTTTAAGCTCTCGCTTTGCTCCCCTGCCCCTGGGTGAAGCTTTGCTGCCATTCCTGCTGCCCGTGCCGCTCTGCTCCACACCTATTGTAAGAAAAAGCCCCACATTTACCAGGAGGGACATTTTCTCCACATTTCCACACTAAATTCAGGTGACTCGCAGTGTGTCCCCACGCAGGGGGGTGCCCCGTGCGGAAAAAGGGGCTCCCGATATTCCGTGCGTTCAGAAACGGAGCCTGATCAGCCTCTGCCCAACGAAGCATCATGGCTCCAAATAAGCATCACGGCTCCAAACGAAGCATCAAAGCAAACGAGCCCCGAGGAGCCTGCAGAAATCCTTCACCCCCTAGCACAGGGCCCTGCAGGCGAGCTGTGGATGCGCCCCCCAGGCCGCCCGCCCGCCCCGTGCTGCTCTGGGGATTGCAGCAGCTCTCCATTTCTCTCCTCCCTTTGTTCTTTCACCAAAAGCTGGGCAAGCCTCCATCCCACCCCCGCCGCAGCCAGCGGAAGGAAGCAATAGGCTGGAGTGTGGGTTTGGCTGGAGAGCTCCCCCAGTTTCTTTCCTTTGCCCTCCGGGAGTGTTTCCTGCAAACAGGGGCCAGCAGCCCCGGGGCCGCAGGCAGCACGGAAACGCCAGCAGAATCTCGGGAAACGTCTGGGGGCTGCCCAGAGCCCCCCAATTTCCTGCAGATTTATTGTTCTGGCAGCCGGCAAGGCTTTCCCGGGGTAGGAATAGCTCCTGGTGCCACGGGGGAGATCCCGAGGTCCCCCCGCCGCTGATTTGGGGACGTGGATGGATGGCAGGGAGCACCCAGGGGAAGCCGCCTTGGTGCGTGGAGGTGCTCCTGGCACTGGTGGGATCTGACTTTTGGGGGGGTCCCTGAACCCCTTCCCCAGGGAGCACACGGCCATGCAAGGGGATTTTCATGCAGAAATAAATGGGCAAGGTCTTCTGGCTGAGCAAAAAGAGCTGGTTCCCATCGCGCCGTCCCGTTTGGGTGTTTTTGTGAGCGATGCGTCAGTTCTGGACGGGTGAAAACGCCGAGCCTTCACGCAGCCACCTGCTTTGTTCTCCCGTTTCATTCCATTATTTATTCCTCCGTTCGTTCCTCCCCAGGACACGCGTTCAGACCTCCTCTGTGAGGCCCCTGTCTGCAGGTCGGTGCATTTTGGGGGTGCAGAGGCAAAGCCCACCGAGGCCTTTTGGTCACACACCTCCTGCTGTGGGCACGGCTGCTGAGAGTTTGCAAGAGGGGAAGTCAAAATTTGTGATTTCACCAGAAACACCATTTTACTACGGAAAACGGCTGCAAACACGTCCAGGGCTGTGCAATCCAGCCGGGGAGGAAAGCAGCCCCTGCCCCGAAGGAATTCAGCTCGCTGGAGACAAAAGGGAGAGGAAATGCTGGAAAAACCTCGCAGGCACGCTGCTGTCCCACGCCGCAGCCCCCGGCCCCTCTGTCCTCTGCTTCCTTTGGGGGCTTTGCTCAGGATCGTGCCTGGGGGGAGCGAAGCACCTCGTGTCCCCTGGGGCGTGTGGATAACACGGACACGCTGGCATCAGTGTAGTGAGCCCTCCTTGTGCCAGGGGATGGGGAAATTCCCCCCAAACTGAGATGGAGACACGGTGTTTGCTGCCTTCCCCCTGAATTTAAGCCCTTGCTTGATCTCATTTCAGGCAGCCGACGGGAGCGCTGCTGCCGGCTGCTCTCCAGGCGACGGAGGATGCCGGGAACCAGAAAAGCCCTGCTAAATTTAGCTCCCACGTGCAGCAAGCCCCGGCCATCCACCTGCACGCTCACTGTAAGCCGCAGGCAGCCCCAGAGCCCCCGGTCGGCTCCTGCTCAGCCCTGGCCACAAGCGAGCAGCTCCCGTCACCGCGCGGCGCCGAGCGAGGGGCAGCACCAGCCACCCTACGAGGCATAATTTTTATGAAACTTGCACTCTGAGCACTTCTCTACGTTCTGCTGATGCTAATGGCATTTTGTTTTTCCATCACCTCCTGGCTCGGAGACGTTAAAATACAAAACTATTGATTTATTGGAGCCGTTTCCATCCATCCATCCCCCAGACTCAGGCTGATGCGCCGGCGCTTCCAGTGCTTGCTGCAGCCCCGCGTTGTTCTTGGACTCGGGTTCTTCCTGTAATTGCAAAACTCCTCCCTTGTTTTGGGTCGAGCAGCGCTTACAAGAAAAACGAGAATGCCATAAAGCACTTTGAAGCACGGCAATAAAATAAATCACGTCCCCAACCGCGGCGTTCAGCATCAACACTGCACCCCACGGAACCTGCGGCGGCACAGAAACTCTCCTCTCTGCCCCAGCGTTTTGGGGATGGTTGCAACGTTTTTCTTCTTTAAGTGCTTGAGGGGAAGAGCGTGTCCCCAAATCCCTCACTGGAAGGGGGAAACCTATTTCCCAGCAAGAGATATAGCAGAAAATAGGCGTGCTGGGGAGCTCCGGGCAGCGACACGGAGCTGTTTCAGACTCAGGGCACGGCATCCACAGCACGGGGCGTTTGCGCCAGCCCAGCTCAGTTTTTTCCCTGCAGCCACAGAGCTGCAATGAGGGCAGCCTCCATCCCAGCGCTGCCTCCTTGGGGGAAGCTGCCCAGGCCAAGCTGGAGCTGATTTGGGGAGGTTTTTGCTCGCGGTGCCCAGCAAAGAGGCGGCTCCTCGCTGTGCCAAGGGAAACTGTTCCGCACATCCTTCCTCCAGCAAAAAGGATGTCACTGGAGATGCCTTGAGAAGAAAACCAGAGGAGAGCTGGCTTGTTTCAGGGCGTGTGTCAGTGCATCGCTTTTGTGCTGTTCTTCAAAAGCAGAGAAAAAGCAGAGGGTGAGGAAAGACACCCAGGGCGACACTGCGGGCAGGGAGCCCCATGTTCACAGCCACGGGGGAAGCCTACAACATTCCCTGGCACCTCTGCAGGCTCCCCTGAATTCCTCACCCTGACACTGCCCCACAGCAGCAGCAGCGACGTGCAGCAGATGAATGGGAGCATGAAATGTAGGTCGGTTAGCGAGAGATTTTCCATACGGGGCGGTGCTGGATGAAGGCACAGGACACCAGGGAGCTGTCGGTGGCTGCGGCCCCTGCCAGCACGCGGCTCTGGTGAAGGACAGGCAGCTTTTCCTCTCAGACAGCATCGTCTGCTCCTCATATTGAGTGTTTAAGGAGCTGCCCTGCCTCTCCCCACATCTATCCCAGGGGTGGTATCACATACAGCAGGGCTGGCAGGGGAGCAAGGGACGGCTGCAGCTGCCCGGGTGGTGAGGGGCGCAGGGGGTCCCCGGGGCACAAAGCCTAAAGAAATCCTGTGGCTGCAGGGGGGCGAATGCCAGGGTGGGAAACGGGCATTTCTTCGGGTGCTGGTCCCAGGCCCTCCTCCAGTTTGATGGAAGAGAGCGGCTTCAGGAGCAGTTGCATTGAAAAGAAAAAAAAAAAAAAAGAAAAAAAGGAAAAAAGAAGAACCAACACACAAAGAGCTATTTTTTTTCCTCCCTATTTTCCAGGCTTTTCTCTAGGATGAAAAGCCATTCTGGAGGTGATGTGCCAGGGGTGCCCCCTCCAGCCCCACGTCAGCTGGCAGAGCGGATCCAAGCCATGGGCGCCGCACAAAACCCCTCGGTCACCCTGGGAACGGCCACTGCGGCTGGCGGGGGGAAAAGGAAACGAGCAGCAAAGCCCAGCCCCTGCTTGGCCGCCTCTCCGATCTCCTGGCAGCTCCAGCCTTTGCCTACCAGCAGCGGCAGGACACA